AATGAAACATATCTTAGATTCAATTGTGTTGGAACAATGAGACATCTAAAAGTTGCCGGGCATTAAGTCTTCAGGAGTAAAGTTTTAAGATCTCCTCTCAAGATTCTTGTGTAGTCCTGATTCCCTCATAGCTGTTCAATTAATTAACTCACCTGTCAAGTCTTGCTGTAATCACTTCTTTAAGCATCCACTTTTATGTCATCCTTGCTTGTATTTGCTGCTGTTCTCTCAAGTTTCTAGCTCATGTTGAGCTTTTTATTCCAGTTTTTAGGTGAAGTTTCTGATTTGTTTGTTATTAATTAAACTAGGCCTTCACAATATAAAGGACTCCTCTCTCTGGTTTTGAGTCCTCTCACCACATGCACTAAAAACATGATTTCTACATGGTGATTGTCCTCTAAAAAGGCTATAATAACAATGTGGAGCGACTTAGAAGTTAACAATACACAAATATTTAAAAAAGAATTAAAAAGACAGGACAGCTTCTCTTTTTAATCTTAAAACTAGTGATCTTTTTTTTTCTAAGTTAAAACTTGGAAGAAAATTGCAAATCTGTCGGCTTTTTCTCTCTGTCAGAGTGTGAAAGTAGTATTTGTCTTTGTATCTGTAACAAATACAAATATTCTTGTATTTGGACTGGCTTCACGTTAAATTGAAGATTCGCTCAGGGTTACAGGGAAACTGCAATGTCCGGCGTCTCCACTCTGTCCGTCTGCATGTCTATGTTCACACTCGTATGGTCGTGTCCTCATCGTTTCCCTGACTCTTCTTGACGGCCGAACAAAGTGGTCTGACACGGCGCTCCTCCTCATGACAAGCACTTTTAACACCACACTCCTACCGCCTGCCTCCTTCTCTCCTCCCGCTAACCTCCATGTGCCTGTTCTCCTCGCAGAGTTGAAGAGTTGAATCGTGGGTCAGCAGCTCCGCTCGTGGAGAACCAGACTAGATTTCCAGATGGTGAAGTCACCATCTCTCTGCTCATTTCAACCCAGAGAAAGGCTCTTTCACACACACACACACACACACACACACACACACACACACACACACACACACACACACACACACACACACAATAAAGCATGCAAAACGCAGCACAAAATGCGCAATGATTTATTACAAATAATCGTTGGCACATATTTCCACCATATTCCTTCCTGAGTGTTGAACAAATTGAGACGTATCAGTGCTGTAATTGGTTCCAGAGGGTGAGTGTGATGGGAAGAAAGGATCTGAGTGGACACTTCCTTTAAGAGTGGGGAATACCAGCTTTAATCATGATATGTTAAAGAGTTTGTATGTTCACCATTCTGGCTGAGAAATGAGACTCAAATCAAGATGTATTAGATTTCAACAGTTGGCTCGACTAACACGCTGTCTCGATAATGCAGCGGGTTAAATGCTCCAGCTGTTTGCTACTGAAACATTCAAACTGGTGTGTTTTCAGTGTTTTCGCCTCTATTATGCTCCTTCTTTGTGTTTAAAGATGATGCGTTTTGTCTTTAACAAGTAAGTTCTGCACAACGCATGTTGCTAAAAGTTAAGTCTAACAGTGTGTGTCTTTATTTGCTGCCATGATGACCAGACAGCTGGCAACACTGGGAACAGCCGATAACCTCAGCCGTGCATCCTGACCTGGATCAGGAGCAGGGGCATCTCTCAAGGACAAAGTAACTGTACAACAGGAAGGAGTGAGAAAACAGAAAGTTACAGACGTTACAGCCTCCTGCCGAGCCACAAAAATAAAACTGACCGTTCAGAATCTCAAAATGAAGTCCCAAGTCTGGGCCATCTGGCCCAATATAAGTTCAGTTTTGCCAACTTTTCATGCAAATAATATTCAAAACTGGACCATTTCTAGAAGCTGCATTTATGTCCGCAGATGAAGCCACTGTCAGCCGGGGGATGGAGGTCAGAGGTCAACAGAATGTTCTGATGCAGCTGCAGTTTGTCCAATGCCCATTAGGGAAATCTTTCAGTGAATTGCCATAAATTCCACCTTATAAAGGCAGTTTTTCTTTTCACAATCTGTGCAGATCGCAAATAAACATGACTCCTGTTTAATTAATTCTGTGTCTAAAGGTCACCCTTCTGAAAAAGTGAAAATCTTTTAATTAGTTTTTGTTTGTTTGATAATGTTTGAGTCTTTTGGAAACTAGCTTTGTCAGTATTCATGCAAGACATATAATGTAGTTTTTAGAGTTTCTGAAGCTGTAGAAATTTGATCTTTTTGTGTAAACTGAGCCGAAATTGTTGATTTTATTGTCCTCTGAGTGGCATGTTGAAAAACCAAAGTATTGTTTTTAATCTGTTTTTTTAACTAGATTAATTCAAGCAATGTTTCATTCACATTGAATGAAACATTGTATTTGCTTTATTAAGCAAATACTGATGTTACAGCATGAGTTAAAAAGTGTTTCCACATCTTTTAAACACACTTTGATGTACATTCCAGCGCACTTTTTCTGCCTGCAGAGCTCAGTTGCAAGACTGTCCACCCCATTGAACATCTTCATAGTTTTTTTCCATTACATCCACGTACTGTATTTCTGCACGTATGTACGTCTATATGAATATATTTGTGGGGAGTCAACCAAAAGTAGTGCGTGGTTAAGTAAGTTTTTAAAATAACCATTGACAAATAAAAATCTAAAACAAAAACTGTGCAATGCATTCAGTTCCTTTACTCTGACACTCATCGATAGAATCCAGTTTAATCATTTCCCTAAAGAAGTCACTGAATTAGGAAAAGAGTCCCTTGTGTGTTTAATTTAATCGCAGAATAAAGGCTTCAGAGGCTTGTTTGAGAAAATACAGACCAAGCCGCATCATAAAGAGCAGAAAAGAGAGCAGAGCTCACTTGTGGAGATCACCCTGTCATCATAAAGCACGGTGATGGCAGCATCATCCTGCCAGGTTACCTCACCAGAAGCTTGACAGAGCTGACAACTAGAGGAAAATGTGTTAGACTGCAAAGAGTTCAAAACTGATGATGGGCAAAAAATGTAAACCTCTAGTTGTGCAAAGCTGGTAGACGCATAAGAAATTAATATTACAAAAGATTTGCATGTGCGGCAAAATGTGATTCTGGATCAAAGAAGTCTGAATACAAACCCATAACACTTTTTTGATTTTTATTTAAAGGACAATGTGAAAATTATGTATCATGTTTCCTTCGCTTCATGTGACCTGCCACCTAAAATTTCCAAAGCGTTAAGGACATAAACTAAATGTTTAAATAGTGGAATACAAGGCACAGAAATATTTATTAACCATTGCTATTATTACTACTATTGTTATTATTGTTTATTAATAATAAATTAAATGCTGTGATATCACAGTTGAAACGAGATATCAGATGTCAAATGTTCAACGCGAAACGACCACAGAAATAACCCAAATCCAAATCTGCAGCATGAATCAGCCAGCGTTATTTTTAGAGCCATGAAAAACAAAAACAGCAATTAAAGACGCATTCTGAGATGTAAAAATAGAGAGTTCACAGGGAATGTTTCCGTTACGGAGTGAGGACGCTTCATCTCTCATATCCCCTCCTCCTCCTCTTCCTCCTTCTCCTCCTCCTCCTCCTCCTCCCTCAGGTCATCCTAAATTATCGCTGCAGGTCACAAAGCGCTGTGCTGCTGAGCGCTTTTCTTTTCTCCACTTTCAGTAGATGATGCATCTTCATCCTGTTTATGTTGAACAAATTAAGAGAGAGAGAGAAAAGGTTAGGTTTGAATTCGTCTGATAAGGACGTTTTTCTCGTTAAAGGGTCCGGTTGTTGTTGTTTTTTTTTTATCGAAACCTGCGGCTTATTTTTTTTTTTTTTTTTTTTTTTTTTGCTTGATATAAATAATGAGAAGCAGTCGGTTTGGAGCGCAGATGTTTTTAACTCGGCGCTGCGTGCTGACAAAACTGCTGGATGGTTTTGCATGGAGGAAACCGTTATCCTCCCTCCACGCGCCACGACGCGATCAATGCGACCCGGTCGGATTTTCACCGGCCTGCCTGCCATGTTCAGTCACAGAGAGGCCGAGAGAGAGAGAGAGTTTTCCTGTTTTTAATCAGACATTCATTCACCTGATTGATAGGCTTCATGAAGCAGTACACGCTTTTAGCACAATTAGGTCATTTCCCCAAATTCAATTTGTATTTTAAAACAAATTGTTCCCAAAAATATGGAGATTAAATTCCAACTATTTCCAACTATTTTTATTATTCAAATATTTTTACATTTATGCAAAATATTTGCATTAATATTTATGCAAATATATAATATTAAAGTGTGAATAAAATAAAATAAACATCCAGAATGAAATGGAGGCCTGAACGCAGCAGCGGCAGATTTATTGAGACGCAGGGCGCTCATGCGGAACCCGACAATTAATCTACCAGCGGGTTAATTAAAGTGTTACACCCTCCTTTTCCCCACCAAAATGACCGAGAAACCGATCTTAAAAATTGGGCTCCATATTTAGGGTGAATCTGCCTCCGTTTTACATGTGAGTTTTACGTGATAATTGATGTAAAAGCAATTTTTGGGCCTCGGAGTGTCTACGCAGTGAAACGTTGGAAATAATGTTGGTTATTCCAGAAGGAGTGACATTTTCGTTGATTTATTCCGGATGGCAAATAATATCTGATGTGTTTTTGTCTTTAGTCGTTCATTCAAAAAAAAAAAAAAGTGACGTTTCATGATTTTAAAGGCATCAACTCCAGCAACTAATTTAATGTTTCTTTTTTTGTTGTTGTTGTTTAAGAATTAGAATGTAATATCTGCTGCATTTTTTCCCTTCATTTATTTCTGCCTTTATTTTCTGTCCAGATGTAAGTGTGAAGGTGTGTGTGGACAGTCGATGAATGAAGTCAGAAGTTTCTGTCCCACATCACCTCCTGACTCCACCTCCTCCTCCCTCCTCACACACACAGATCCTCAGGCGAAAAGAGGGAAAAGAGGTCTACTCCTCCTCACTCCTCCTCAATCCTCCTCACTCCTCTTCCTTCATTCACAGAGAAGCCTCTGAGCCGAAGCCCTTCTTCTCCCTGGATGGACCCTCAGAGCCATTAAGCTGACAGCCCTGGATGGGAACCGAAGATCTGCAGTGCTGTGGGGGGGAAGCTGCCATGAACTTTAGCCGGACTTGAGGAGCTTCCAGAGTGTGAAGGAAGGACTCAGAGCTCGGAGAGAAGGATCCAGAAGGTGTCGCGTGAAAGGAGACAGGACTGATTTAAAAATTGCCTCCAGTTTTTTAGGCTTTCGGCCCTGGACCATGATGAGTTCAGACGTGCGTGACCTGAACTCCCTGCTGCCCTCGGTCCCGCCGGGTCCCAGTCCCGGCTGCACAGCGCTGCCAGTTAGCACGGCCCCTCAGTGGGCTCCCGTCCTGGACTTCCACACCGCCGCCTCCCCTTACCCCTCCCTTGCTGCTCCCCACTCCTCTCTGGGGCCCCACTCCTTTATCAAACAGGAGCCCAGCTGGGGAGCCACAGGGGACCCCCACCACCACGACACAGACCCTCACTGCGGTCTCAGCGCCTTCACTGTGCATTTCTCGGGTCAGTTCACGGGCACCGGGGCCTGCAGGTATGGGGCAGCGTTTGGGGCGCCTCCTCCTGCTCCGGCGGCACCCAGCCAGCCTCCGCCTGTGGCGGCTCCCCACCACCACCAGCCCCCCAGCAGGATGTTCAGCAACCCGTCGTACCTGAGCAGCTGCATGGACACCCAGCCAGCGGCCCGAAACCAGACAGGTAAAGTAGGGCTGCAGGACGAACGTCATCCCTGCTTTAGATTCACTTTTCACTCCCTAAATCCACCGATGAAGGTTCACAAGTGGGAGATTCACACTCCTTTATGTAGACAAAGCAATTCAAATCGAGGGGAATTGTCCACAAATAGCCTCGTGTTGATTTATTCTGAGCACATAATTTAATTTCTAAATTATTTAAAGAGATTTTGAAGAACCTATGTTGCCTTCAGTACCGGGGCGTCTAGGTTCACTTTTTCGAAGCGCATAAAGATGATCTTGAAACCCCAAACAAAACAAAACCACAAATATGATAAAGTGTGGAGAAAATAATTTCCGTGGAAGCAGCGTGGCTCGCCGCTAAACCGAGGTTGTTGCCGTTAATGTTTGAGCCTAATGAGAGTTGTCTTGCTGTTTGCAGCAGCAAAGCTTTTGGCCTGCGAGTTTTTTTAGTCCCTTGAGAACATTTACCCTGAAAATTACGTTTAGTTTATGATGATTCTGGTTGTAAAAGTCTCATAAAATTTGTTAACTATTCAAGCCTCATTTGGTGAAGATAGATTAGGTCTGTATAAATCCTAATATATTATTTTTTTAAAAAATATCCTTCTTTATTCTTTCTCAAATAATTTGTGATAGAATGCATCACAAATTATTTGAACATTTCAGACTTATCCACAGTTCATCTTTTATTTTCCCAGGAAAGCATTTCACTATGGGAGGTGGAACAAGCTTCACCATGTTATTGATTGCTCAAGTTGCTCAGTTTGATTTTTTTTAGACAATCATTTTACATTTGACCAACTCTAAATCGCGTCCTCTTCATTTTGAGGTCACGGGTTTTTTGGGGAAACCTTCTCCTCTTTGAACATTTTTTTTTTTTTTTTTTTTTTTGCTTTTCTTTTAAAACTCAAGCGTCTTCCAAGCATGTGATTTCACGTTTTAAGATTACAGCATGAAGCACATGCAATGAAAAGATTTATTGGGATTTAATTCAGAAAAATTGCTCAATAAAAAAAAATCTGTTTTAATTAAATAATGAACCAAAACTAAATAAATCAGTTAGACAGCAAAATAAGTGTTTATTCATTGTAATTAATAAAGGAATAATATCGGTCACTTGTCACAATTTTTAAGCTTACTTGTAAAAAAGTATTTTATGAAAAATACATCATCAAGCATCATTTATGCTTGATGATGCTGCGCGTGGTAGTTCTGTGTTCAAAGTTTACAGTAATTTATATTCCCCTGCATATAGTTTGTCTTACTGTCACCAGCAGGTGAAATTGATTGACTATGTCTATATTTCTGCTTGTTTGAGTCACCAGGAGGAATTCCATATTAGATCAAATAAAACTGGACAACAGAGTCAGTAAATAGCAATGCTTTGCTTCTCAGACAAACTTAAATAATAATTAAAGGAAAGTCCAACCCTTTAATTCGTTTTCACGCTGATTTAACCTTACTTTACAAATCTAAAATTGAAACTTGTGAAATGAAGTCTGGAAAGGAGGAATTAAAAACCAGGATCCGTTTGTGTAACTTCTGCCTGAAAGGAGAGACTCTTCTGTGTGTTGACGCTCGGCTGAGTGATTCCTAATTCATCACTCCGACTATTAGAGTCTGGCATTTCTCACATCTCACAGCGGATCCACGTGTGTCTCCAGCAGCACGAAAACGCTCAAGATTTAGAAACACGAGCCACTTCACAGATTTACCTCATGAAAAAATTAAAAAACAGCATCCAGTAGAATCTCATTGCATGAAATGACTCATTTCTCTAGCTGTTGTCACCTAATCCCCGCTCCTCCTAGGTAAAGGCAGGAAAGTTAATCAGTTAATGATTAGACAGCAGATTAATTAGGAATAACATGCTTTCTGAGGAGATAATTCAGGAATAACATTATTATCAAAGAGCCGGGCCGACCCCCTAACCTGTTTTATCTGCGCCCTGCTGTGGCTGGTTGAGCACATGCAAACAAACCGGCCAGCAGCAGGACCCGGGTCACACGGTAGAGCTCGTATCGGTGAAGGGTCGCTCCGGGAATTCATCACGTCAACATCTCTTTTTCCATTTCTAAATGTTCTTCAGGGATGTTTCATCTTCTTGAGCTAAAAGTTGGGAATTCTCCACAAAGGGAAAAAAAAAGAAAAGAAAAACAAAAGCGGCATTTCAAGCATTTTTGCTGATGGTGAATTTTCAAACACGGGACGTTGAAACGGTCTAAATCTATAAAATACAAGATGAAAGTCAGTGCAAGACTGTGTGCAGAAGGTTTGAAATCATCATTTAAAGTCTTAATCTCCTACTGATTTTGAGGGGCATTCCGTGGGGTTTTCCAGACTTTAGGTTTTCCAGTTGAATACAAACTGACCTCACCGCTTGCCACCTCGGTGCTGGACATCAAGGAGGCAACAAAAAGTATCAGAATACATGCACACACACACACACACGCACACGTTCACAAGAGTCAGGGGTGAGTGGAAGATGAATGGAAACGTTTAATTAGAGTTCCTTTTTTTCCCTTCTCTTGCTCTGCTCACCCACTGACTCAGAGAGTGAAAGTCTGTGAAAGTGCTACATTTTTAATTAATGAAGCATGCATGTCAGAGATAGTGTGTGTATCTGTGTGCATGGGAGTGATTTATGGGATCTAGCAGTGCCCTTTAGGGGTCAGCTAGAGTCATGAGTCAGAGCCGGTCCGGGGCGTCAGGCACGGATCTTCTTAATGCCAGGAACCCGTTTATGTGGGCGCGCTAAAATGATTTTGAAAAAATATATAAAGCTGAAACGTATGAACGCACAAAGTTGCATGAAAGTTAAATATAATGTGATATAATAAAACAATTTAATGTTTACAAAGTTGCACAATAAAGTCACTGCTGGCAAAAGTTGAGAAACAGAATGTGAAGTTTTTTTCTCAAAAACACATTAGGTTAACACCTTCTGCTCAAATCCAACACCGTAAACCGTTTCCGTCGATCAACGGCGTTGAGAAACTGTCGAGCTGATGTGTGTGTTCACTGCTTCTTCTCCGCTGTAGGTTACAGCACGGTGGCGTTCGACGGGGCCGGTAATTACGGACACACTCCTACGCACCACAGCTCGCAGTTCTCCGGCCACTCCTTCAAGCACGAAGACGCCCTAAGCCAGCCGAACACAATGGGTATGTGCATGTCTGATTACATAAGGGCTACACTGTTTCAGTCTCTGGAAAACACCAAGGCCTTCGTCTGAAGCTGAAGACTTTTCTCATGTCTTTTTCTTTTTTTTTTCAAAAACACATTTCACATGGTTTTATTCTTGCAAGGTAAAATCTAGAAGAGTCAGGTGGAGGAAATCAAATTATGAGACGAGTTAAGTGGCTTTTGGGAGTTATTCGACGCGTCACTTGATAAAGTTAATCCTTTACATATCTGAAAAAGCTTTCAAGCATCTGGTCATGTGAGGAAATACAATTACTAGCCTTTGTGGTGAACACTTGCAGTTAGAAATAAAAATCCTACCGTACATTTAGCGATTGCTTACAATATATTTTATTTTACATGTTTCATGATTTTTAGTGCATTTTGATTTTATGAAATTTAGTTTTTATATTGCACAACACCTATGCTTTTTAAATGCTTTTTATAGCACAATGAAACTTTCATTTAGACTTTATGAAACATCAGTAACCACCAAATAATTTTATTAATTACAAAATTATATGCAACATTTGTATTAAAAATTGGCCCGGCGTTGCAGGGATTTTTCCCTTAAAAAAATCGCTAACATTTAAATATGTTTGTACTGTAGTCATTTCCCACTGTACTGGTTTAAATAATCATCATCAATATTACCTTTCTTTAGAATGAAGCACCGTTTGCAGTTTATGGCTTTTTACATTTTTGCTCACAGAATCGAGAAACATTTCAACTGGGGTTATTTCTCAGGGTGTGTGTGTGTGCGTGGGCGTGTGTGTGCGTGGGCGTGCGTGCGTGCGTGCGTGCGTGTGTGTGTGTGGGGTGGTGTGTGTGTGTGTGTGTGTGTGTGTGTGTGTGTGTGTGAATAGTGACCCACTGGGAAAAACAAACAAACAAAAATGTTGATTGATTTGATAAATGAAAATTATTGCAAACGCAATGTTCACCTCCAGTGTCCACTTCACCCAGAGCTGATACCGATTTGATATTCTTTAGTTAAGCAACAAAGAGCTTTAATTAGACCCTGTACTGTTTGTGTACGTTGAGCCCCCGTGTGAGAGCCGGGCCGTGCGTTTGGTAGCCTCTCAGCCCTCGCCCAGGGAGTGTCTTGTCCCGTTTTCTGACGTCTCCGCTGTGACCTTGCCTGTCAGAAGTATAAATCAGCCACATCCTGACTCGCAAACTCTCTTGACTCCTTCTCTCATCTATTCTTTCATCCACCCACAATCTAATCCCTCGCCTCTGCACGTTGTTAGTAAACATTTAAATGCGAGAGTCTGGGGGAATGAAAGCTGCAATTTCTGGCAAATGCTCATCGTTAATATACTTCCTGAAAAAACAGGATGACACAAGTGGAGAGGCGACCCACAAAGAAATCAACAAGAAAGCGCTTCATCCTAAATCCAGCGTTCGTACCCATTTTTCACAAGCTCTGATGAACAAGTTTCCAGAAGGAAAGCCAAACTTTGAATTTCTGAAGCGCCAAGTGAGTTATATCACCTTTCAGGGAGTTTGTGGTTGTTTAATCTTTTCAGATGCATTTTAACTCATGAGAGCCAGTTTTAACAAATGATAAACGATTTCCTAATAACCAGACAAATAACCAACTTGAAAAAAAAGAGAAAAAACTAAAACAAAAGAATATCTTTGAATAACATAAAAAATATGTGATGTATGAAAGAGGAAGTGACAGTTTTTGTAAGTTGCTCCCAGAGTGAGTTTTTCATCATACATTAGGAATTTAATTTCATATTTTTGTTTTCAACATTACACTTGTCTTAGATGGTCAGTGTTAAGATGACTTTGAAATGACTCTTTTTGTGTGTTTTATCAAACTGTTTAAAATAATCTCTTCCCAGTTCAAATATAAATTTGGACCTACAAGTAGTCAAATGCAGATCAGCTTCAAATAAAAGCATTGAAATAGATCTTTAGTTCTGATTTAGAAACTCCTAATAGGATTCTAACTTCAGTTTCACAATGTATCATTTATTAGAGTTTATTTTATTTTGTAAGTGTGTGTGTTTTGTTTTTTTTAACCGTTAACATTTTTACTTTAGAAAGTTGTAAATAGGTGGTGGCTTTGTAACATTTTACCTCTTGTTGCACTTCTCACCTAATTTAAAGATCAACAGACCCCTCTGGATAAACTGCAGCCTGCTTCCAGGTTCATTCACTAAATCATAACTTGGGCATTTAGGAAGTACTTGAACTTTTAAGATAATTAAAAAAAGAGACCATGCTGTGACTGCAAAAGCAATGCACCTCGTCCTGACCCAGTAGAGATCTGACAGATTCTGAACCCATCGTACCAATGTGCACATTCAGTCGGTTCACTTTTATTAAAGACGCACGTGGGGCCGTAACAAAAAAATAAAATAAAAAAAAACATAGAAATGTAAAGAAGAAAGCACATCTCAAAATGTGCTCTAACTCCAGTTTCAACATTTATATCAGCTGACTTGTGATTGAATGATGCACACAAGTGTGTGTATCGCCAAGGACTTACCTCAGTAACCACTGTATTATGTTGAATGTTTCTTCTAACAATCATTGAAAAGCAACATGTGACAATCATATATATGTTTACTGTAATTTGAGAAACCAACAGTTCCACTTAGTGTTTCAAGTAGCACAGTCTGGTAGCAAGTTGTTACATTTATTCACTTACAGTTACTTGGGCAATTGAAAAATAAACACTTTTTTTAGTATTTTTACTGCACCATATTTTTTGCGTTTACTTGAGTAATATTATAATAATAATTAGAATTTTAATTTGAGTGAAACTGGTGGATCCTCAACCCACTGTGAGTAACTTCACTGAATGAAGAGCAAACATGTTTCAATCAGCCAGATATATCTTCAAACTACCAGAATTTGCACATAAAATTCCCCATCTGATAACATCATCAGTTCTTGACTATTAAAGTGATACTTTTATGAAATAGTTTTTCACTTTCGGTTGAGTAATTTTTTGGGTGTTAATTTTTTTTTACTTTTAGTTAAATAAAAAATATATAGAAGTCGGGCGACTCTTACTTGAGAACAATGTCTGGATGCCAGTACTTCCTTTTTAGAACAGTAGGTTCATCATTCTTAAAACAAAAGAACAAATATTCTTTAATGTGCAGAGTTCAGACTGAGATTTGTCAAACTACATCTCTGAAGGTGTGTTTTCACATAACGTAGTGATTTTCTGTCTCTGACTGCGTGTGTGTGTGTGTGCATGTGCGTGCGTGTGTGCGGGTGTGTGTGTGTGTGTGCGTGGTCCAGGTGAGCAGCAGTATCCCGTACCGCCTCCCGTTTATGGCTGTCACACACCGTCGGACAGCTGCACGAGCAGCCAGGCTCTGCTGCTGAGGAACCCCTACAACAGGTAACACACAAACATTTGCCTTCTGCACCTCTACGACATCCCAAACACCCTTTCCAAAATGTGTTCTTAGAATAAACAAACAGCAAAAACTGAAGCTGGAAATAGCTCTGGAGCCATTGTTGATTGTTTTGGTCAAACAGCAGTACTTCAGTGGCAGGTAGCAGGATGTAGCTCTGAACAGGATGTTCACCTTCTGAACAGGTTTGACTGCCTCTCTGGCTTCCTTTTTAATTTTGTGCTCCTTCCTTTGGTTTCCTTTTTCTCTTCATTTAGTTGGAAAAATCTCCGGGATGAAACACAATATGTGAAAATGCTTAGATCTCTCTTGCATTGGCAAATGTGATTTCTCTCATTTCATTCATAACTAGGTCTGTCCAGGGATATTTTCTTCTGTATTTCCACATGTGGTCGGATCACTTGTCAGATGGCGACAGCGTTTTATATCAGGTGTATAGTTTTAGATTGATTCTAATGTCACAACAGTGTGACTCGCTGCGACTGGTAATAAAAAAAAATTCTTGGCAGAAACGCAGGTGTTCCGCGAAGGCCTCAGAAATGTGTTCAAGAAACGTTGGGTAAGATTGAAGCTAAAATTAAAATTTGTATTCATGTGTTAGAATGACCTACTCAAAGTCCAAACTTAAATGTTATTTAGAATCTCTTTCAAACACTGAATGTTATAGATCCTTAGTTTTTCAGATGACTAAGCTTTCAAATTAGAATTGGCAAAAATGTCATAATCTACAGAGTTCATAGGCATATAACCCAAATGGCATGCAATTGCAATTGGAAAGGAATGTTTTTCCATAAAGTACGAGTTCATTTTGTTTGTAAAACCATTTGAAATCCTGGCATAATTTTGCCTCTACTTACTCTATTGTAAGATTCCAAAATATTACATCTGATGAAGTTGACTGAACTGTCTCCTCTGACAAATATTATAGTCATCTGTCCATTTTGTTCTCTGCCTCGCAACCCACAACCGTTCATCTTCTTTTATACGTACCATGTACTTATTAGTACTCGGCACTACTTCAGTTGTATGAGATTTTTAAAGGAGGGACACGTTTATCACCTCTCAAGGAAACTACAATTATTTAAAAGATATCAGTGAAATGAAAGCTATTCATGTAAAATACCTGAATAACCAAGGAATGTAAAACACACATTGATAAAATAAGTCTTTGCCTGCAGGCAAAATACTTTTGTTTGTATAAGAATTCTGTTTTCCATTAGGTCATTTTCTATCCAGTTTTTACATAGTAAGCTCAGTCAAAAACTTGACATATTTCCACTTCCTTTCAAAGCACCTCCAAAGGTTTCTGTAAAATACTGCTGCAGATCTACTGCCTGTCTGTGCAGTTTGGAAACAAAAGACCAAGAGTTTTACTTTGCTAATGTTCCGCAATGATAACTTTGGCTGTTACTACCTTAGACAAATTTCTGAACTTTCAGGCTATCCAGGTGAAAGATGTAATAAAACATGGGGTTGAGGCTATGAAATTAATGAGCAGTACATTTTTAGGAGGGACACCTCCTCATCACACGCTCCCCAAACAGTTTGTTGTTTTGTCTCGAAATGAGAAATTCTTTTCATGCCACTGATCCGATGTTTTCTGTAAATGGAAAACGAGAACAAAAATTCCCATTCCTGGGGATGAATACTGAGGCTTCAGAGTGAGTTTTTGAGGGAGAAAGACTGTCCTGACTCTCCCAGTCTGAGGTTCGTCTTTGTCATAAACATAACTGATATCGACACAACACACACACACACACACATACTCATAAACACACATGACTGGGAAGGCTCATGTGAGTGAAGTCAGTGGTCTAATCTTGCAGCCTGGTACCATCAGGCCTGTATTTACTCTCCGGGCCATCAGCTTGGAACAACATGAAGTGGAAACACGCACAGGGCTTATTAATCCGAGCAGAGAAAGAAAATGAGAGGCTCTCTGGCTTCTATCAAAGTGAGGAACAGAATGAGAAGCCTAAAACTGAGCAGGATGTTCTATCAATTACTGAACAACAATTTATTGCCAAACTACCCAAAGGTTTCTGCATTATCAAAAATGTGGTGCTTTGCGAATTTTTTGGTTTTGATGGCGACAACTCACAACCTTTCTGAAATGATCAAGCCAGTTAAGTGACGACATGGACATCACTCAGTATAAAGACCTTTATTTTTTCAAAGTCAATATCATTATGCAACCTTGCTGGAAGCTGTGAAACCGTCAAGCTGACATCATCCTGACTGTTTAATCATCAGTCAAATTTTTTTAGAAAGAAAAAAAGAAAGAAAGATAATTTGTTGTCTTTTTGGCTGCCTCCAAAGAAAAGTGTGAAGCCTTCATTACTTTGCAGCAAGATGGCCTCAGATGCAGCAAACTGCTGCTAAGACATTTTGGTAATCAAGAACTTCACCACACGAGGTGAGGATCCTAACGAAGAGGGACTCACAAATCGGACTTACCTCCGGGGCAGAGTTTGCTCAACAGTGGCAGCAAAAAAAAGACGCTTCTAAATAACAAGAATGAGAATGACTTGAGATAAGTCCGGTGATAAGGACTACATTTGTCCAAAGAAGAACAAATGAGTCCTATTTGCTTCGAACACTGGAGCATGTTGATCTTCCAAAAGCCCTACCGTGAATAAAGAGGGATGGAAACCTCCTGACAGAGCAACTCTTTCAAGCACAGTTTGTTTTGCTTTGTCCCCAGCATTGTGTCATAGGGCAAAGGTGATAACAAAGTGACTCGCACGATCAGAACGCTGACATTTTGTTTCTGCGATGGAGAAACTCCCCAGATCTTAACTGCAGTAAGAACCCATGGAAAAAACAGTGGTCAACTCCAAACTTCAATAAAACATGACTGACTGGGGCAGCATCAGTCAGGACTGAGTCCGAACATTGGTATCCGAGACGTCAGAGAGAATTGCAGAACCTGTGAAGAAGGAACAGCCCTGGTAGAATTGACTGTTTGCATGAACTTTGTGTATCTGCCAATAAAAGCCTTTGAAACATGTTTTTGTTTTTTGCTTACAAGTCTGATGTTGTTGTCAAGCCTGTGTAGACGAAAGCGTAGAGCTCAGTAGCGGCTGAAAATTGTTCAAATATGTCAATGGTCACTGAAGCTTCATTTAATATGGTTTACTTGTTTTTTGCATCGGTCATTGAGATGTTACATTCTGACAGCAAACGATGGCAATATTTATTTTTTCAATAATTTGTAGACTCTTTGTTTCACATGTTGAGCTTATGAACCACAACGTAGAGCTAAAAGTAACATCGAAATAGTGCAGGATGGTGATGAAATTGACTCATATCTTTGTTGAATACGAAAGAAACATACTTACAGAAAGCAGTGAACTATTATGAACTTCTCTCTGTTTTCTTTACGAAATACAACAGGAAATCATTTGGATAAAGAAACACTTTCTTGTAATTTTGTAAAGAAATGAAAAGACTGTGAGTCTCATCTGCAAAGCAAACGAATTTCTGTGATGCAAACTGTGTATTCAGGACAAATGAAACAAAAACAAAAAGACTTTTAATAAAATGCCTGTCTAAAGTTTAGCAGGTAGGCTTTTATGCATGAGCAACTGAGACTATAAATAGACCTGTTATTTTTAAAAGATGCTTTGAATCATTTTAGTCAGATCTTGCAATATTTCAGCAGAAATACTTTCAGCATCTCCTGGCTGCTTGCCTGTCTGCTCTACTGCAGAATAATAGCTCTGTAATGAGCGAGGTACCAGGCACCACTTTGCCCCCATTCAACCTGCGCTGAACCTGCAGCTGCTGTGAAAGAGGGACTGAGGGCTATAAATCTACAGCTTGGAAAATACAGAAATTGTGCGTGCACATATTTGTGGACAGTCTGAGTGATGATCATGCAGTCTGTTACATCCAATAAAAAAAAATATTCTGGTATGCAAAAACATAGGAATTATTAGCGTTTAATCTCCAGTCTTTCTATACCAACTATTTCAACGGCAAACAGCTTTAGCCTCTTGATCAGTGGCAGCTCACGAGCTTTTCTTCTACGTTTTCCTCCACAGCGGTGACAATTTATATCAAATGACCTCTCAGTTGGAGTGTGTGGCATGGAACCCTGTCAATACACTGGCATCCACCATTAAGAGGTAGGAAATTGACAACCGCTTTCTTTTTGAAAAATCCAAAACTAGTAAAGCCTGTGCTGAAGAAGCCAGTAGCTAAGAAATCAACTGAACTTGTGTCTTTTTTGGTCCTGCTATCGACTTCATCTGAGTTTTATTCACAAAGCAAAACAAAATGTCAGACAGCTGCAATAATGGCCACCAACTTCTGAAGCTTTTTGCATCGGAAACTTTTTGTATTCACAGTGACAAGGACAACATGATGTTGACTTAGCCATCGGTATTTTTGTCTTTGAGTTACTGACTGAAAACCCAGTTCTTGTATGTGCTTCTACAGCTTTTTCTGAGCAGTTTTGGAAATTTTCCCCAAGCTTCCAGGACGGTTAGAGTTAGGAAGTAGGTCACAGTGCAAATCTGAACCTTAGTGCCTGCAGTGTTGTGATGAGAAAATGTGCTCAGTGGAATTGTGACGATGAAGCAGCGGTAGTGCTCGTGATGCAATGGTTTAGTACGTACTGTATGTGCTGGAGGTTCTTCTAAAAGGGTTCTAATTCATGAAACCTGTAGTCATTTTACAGACAAAGATAATCTCTTGATGTTTTAGTCTGTGCTATTTAGTCATGCCTAAATATTTCAAAATTGTCAAATGAGGATAAACTGAATGATGCAAGATGCAGTTTTCATTTGTTAAAGGCACAAGGACATCCAAAACAATCTGGTCCTGTCTGAAAAAAATAATTACTCCCGAAAACTAGTAGCTGGTTGTGAGTCACTTGAAGGAACAGCATCACACATCAGTCGATTGCAGCAGTGAGTTGGATAATAGATTGGAAGAATTTTGGCTCACTCATCTATACGGAATTGTTTTAATCCTCGTAAATTGTAAGGTTTTCAATCATAAACGAATCATAAATGCCCCAAAATGTCAGATTTAAGTTTGGACCTTGACTAGGTTGCCCCAAAATGTTTAAAAATGTTTTGATCTGTTTAGAAGCGAACTTCCTGCTGTGATTGGGATCATTATTCTGTGCTTTTGGCGTATGGCCATAAATACCCCTCACAAAGCAGCAAAGCAGCTCCAGATCGTCAGCATGTTTGATTGTTGGTTCGATATTTTGTTTCTGAACAGTTTCGGCTTTTGCTTTGTTAATCTGGGATGTTTTTTGGGAATTCCAAAATGTTATTTTTTTGGTAAACAGATCAACCACTCTAGGAATGGTTCACCACTTTTCTATTTTTCCCCTTTATATATGTAATGACTATCACTGATTTATTTCAAAACCTTTGAAATGGTTTTGTAAAAATGTCCAGATGCTCCTGCCTCTGTTTCTCACCTCTAATTAAATTTATTTGGGGCAAGTTTAGGATTTTTTAAAATGCTGCTTTGTGTTGTCAGGCAGGTTCTGTGATTTCTTGATCTGTTGAAAGTGTGATTAGTGTAGAAAAAAGGTCAAAGAAACTGAACAAATAGAAAAATAAACTTTGCTTTTAAGTCATTACTTATTTTTTCAAACTGTTTTTGAGAAAGTTGCTGGCATAAACATGAATTAAGGATGATTATCAATGTTTTTAAAATCCCTGGTTTACATTATAGTAAACATTTTTTTTTCTTCAGCTGAAATGCCCTTACTTGTTTCCAGATGTCACAAAATGTCCTGACAATGATTTTATCTGCAACACACAAATAGGAAATAAATAATATTGTTGTTTGTGTACCAGTAGTTACCAGTTAATTATAATTCATTCTAACTTGTGATAGTAAGTGGGATTCCTTGAGTCTATTTTCTTCTAAAATTAACAGAAGATTATCAAGAATAAAGGACAGCTCTGTCTTTTGCTTACTGGCAATATTTTATGAATTGATAACTTGTTTCAGAAAGGTTTTTCTTTTTTCTCCTAAGCTATTTTTGCTTAGGAAAAATAGCTTAGGAAACACATTTGAAATCCCTCAAGTGTCAGCATCCAGTGTTTAGAGAGCTTTCTCTATGAACCGCATGTCAGCGTGACCTTCAGAGCCGGTCGAAGTCTGTGCCGCGTCACAAATGCCTTTCTACTGTGAGCCAACACTCATTTTTCATAGTTAACCAGTAAATGTTTTTGTGTTTTTGGGGTTTTCGTATATGTTTTCACAGTGAGAAAGCGTCATTTTTGTGTTTTTTAATTGGTGATGCTTCAGATTTCTGCTGCAGATCCAGCTGCCTGTTTGGGCAGTGATGGGCAGCAGGCGACAGGAGAGGGAAGGGAGGCTTGAGGGAGGATGAGGAGGAAGAGGATGGAGGGCAACCAGAGGAGGAGACGGTCAGCGGAGATAAGGACAGGCAAGCCAAAGAGAAAGACATGAGGAAGAGGAAGCACAGGGGAGTTGAGCCTAATTCCAGGCTTTAAATATCTCAAAAGTGATGAACAACGCCCAGTGTTTGTTCGTAGATGTGAAGTGAAACAAGAGATTGGATATTTTAAATGACGGTGACTAAATCATTGCTTACTTACAGAATCTGTGAAATATCTGGTGCCTCACTTGATGGCACCTCTCATGTTAATATGCTGTTCTACCCCCTTTTGCCAGTTGATCAACACTTAGTCTTAGACATTTCACAAGGCTGGAAACAGAGAGAGATATTTGACTATTTTTTGAATAGTCAGGTCCTACCGAGTCTTGATTTATTTCTTATTCTCTCTTCTCTTCAGAACACCTCTCCTGTTTTTATTGGATTAAGTTTATGGACTGCAGTAGCCAAGGAAGAAAATTGATTTTGTAAACTATTTCTGTGTTGGTTTCTCCATAATCTTCCAAAATACCCATTGAAAACACAGTTCCAATTTTCTACTACAGGGCAGAAGTATTATATTGTCTACTTAATCTAGCAGTTTTATTTTGTGTATTTGAAATACTTATGCCATTCTTTCTATACCTCAAGCTTTATACATTAATAAATAGGACTCCATCAAGTCAGATTTGGAAAGTTTCTTTCCTGTACACCAAGTCCAACGTAAGGAGTGATGGAAGTAAAAAAAAAACCTTAATGAGTGATTGAGAGAAGAAAGCAGAAACCCTCGATGTTCTACAGCTCTGCTTCTTGAGATCCACTTGTCATTTTTGTGATGAGTAGAAAGTTCAGCACCAAGCTGATCCAAACATTTGCCAAGAAGAGTGTTTGAATCAGAAGGACTGATTCAAAGTCCTGCTGAGGTCGTAGTGGTCAGACTGATGGTTCTCAGTCTGAACCGCCTCTTGATTTTGACTTTAGGGTGTAATATGAAAACGTAGCCGTTTTCACATAGACACTTCCTGACTTTTGAAGATTGGCACGTTTCCCCTGCTGAAAGGCATGATGTTGTGTTGTCTTTCTGAAGTTGAGGAGTGGTCAAAGAAATCAATCCTTTGTGTCACGCATTTTATACAAGAAATAGATTACCAATTAAAGGTTCTGGTAAATTGATCAACTTAAAAAAGTAAAGTACAAAGTAAAGAAAAGCTGCTCCAGTTTTGTTTGTTTTGTAGACATTTTAGGGGTGTAAGTAACAATGGCAGCAGCGATCCACCAGTTGGGGCTGAAAGCTGAAACATGTTGCTCTAAGTAACATTTTCTTCATCCTACTAATGATGCTGGACTCTTAACATGCAGGCAGCATGGCTACTGGTGTTTCAGGTCTTTGGCCGGAAACACAGTTAGCACCATTTCTGAAGTTATCTTTACAGTAAGACTTACATTCTCCTGGATGTGTTTCATATTTTCATCATGCTTCTCAGAGCCTACCGTTCAAACGCTGCCCCATAAATCCAATCCAATGAGCCTAACGTTTTAACCCACTTTTAACTAAAATGAAATACTGACAAGGATCATGCAGTTTAATCTAAACTCTGCTGGAGTGCGTCTCCTCCTCTCCTTGGGAAAAATCGAGGCAGACAAAGAGGACCTTATGAGAGCTCGGTTGTATGGCGTTCATTCCCACTGCAGCAGCACAGTACTCCCATCCTCCTTCTTCAGTTGGACACACTGAAATATAACACATTTCATAGACAGGAGCTTTCTGTTTGTCTGTGTGTTATCATAAGAAGATAGGCGATGCAGGCAGCTGTGTCAAACAGAGCTGGCTTTGTTCTGCGCTTTCAGAGGGAAAACCTGCAACAGCAGGTTTTTCTATGAGTGATATTGATTATTAAATGATCTACAGAAAGAATAGTGTGAGATAGAATATTTGAAAAAGCGTTCGTGAGGAGTTATGAGGAGTATATTGATTTCTAAATCTGAAAGTTGTGGGTTCGAATCCAGGGAGGGGCACTTGAGGAAGTTTTCAGCAAGCTGTCAACTGATCTGAGAATGTGACTGTAGTGTACAGTAACTGAGCAGAACGATAAAGTGTAAATTTACCGTTTTATTTAATTCTAAATATCATGAAGCATATTCAGAGTTTTATGTTCTCAATACGCATTAAAAAAAGACTATTTGTACATTTCTGTAGCCTGCTGCCACTAAAACAGGTGGCAAGTTCCTGTTTATCACTGCTTTTAGTGTTTGCTTCACAATGAAAAAACAGATTTTAAAAAGTATTTTTTTAATTAAATCATACATGAAATAATAATTTAAAATTTGGCCAAGTTTTTGCAGAAAAACTGTTGTGAAAATGAATGTTCTGTACCAGTTTGGATACATGCAAGTTTATTTTATGGGTCAGCTGATAGATTAGTGCCTTTCTTAATTATAATTATATGTACCAAAAAACTGACAGCTGCAATATAATGTGGGGCAAATTTTTAAAAATTTATCAAAAAATGTAGATTGTATATATTTAGAACATGGAAATCCTCTATTGTATTTAAAAACTGAATTTTCTTATTGCCTATTCTTGTGGTGCTAACAGAATTCAATCATAAAACTTACAAAATAGAAGCTTTATAATTGGTGTACAACTAATTTTATTCACACAGTAATATTTCCCCATGTGAATGTTTTTTTTAATGGACTTTGTCTTTTTCATCCTCAGGTACTAGAATGCAGACATTTTAATCAATTTTTCTATCTTCTGTCAAAAGTAGAACTTTAACATTTGTTGTGTGTATATTAGTAAAAATGGCTTGTTGACTCAAATTATCTCAAAAGTTATGAATCATGTAAATGAGTGGAGGAATTCACAGTCTTGTTTTAAGACGAAATTTGGATTCCTGTAGCAGATTTCAGAGTATAACTTCATAAACTGTTAATATTTTATCATGTTTTATGTGATTTTGAAAACGCTCTCCACATGTGAAGGTGTTCTTGTACATTTTAGGGGTGTCCATCTTTAATTGCAACACAAGACTCAGCTCTCTGGACCATTTTCAAAGTGCTTTGCAAAGAGCTTTACACCATAAAAACACATGTTCTTATCTTCGTTTAGCCTTGTTTGTCACATTTTCAGTTTCAATTGGTGAAATTCATCTTATTAACAAGTTTTGGGCAGCAGATATTATCTTTTAATATTTTTTCATGACTTATTTAGATGAACATACATCTGACTTGATTAATTTACATGTTCTCTTGTCTTTTCTGTGTCAAGTTATATTTATGTCATGGGAAACAGGGAGTCATGTTCCTAGACACTCTTTACAGAGAAACATATGTATTACAATGTGCAGGTTTAGTTATATTTATTTTATAGGAAGTGTTTCAAACTGTGCATTTTTCCTCACTTTGTCAGGCCTGGAGTTGGTGTCACTGTTGTCGTGCAGCAAAAAGTTCTGGGTTTGAAACCCAGCCTGGGGTCTTTTTGCATGGACTTCCTGTGCAGGTCTTTCTGGGTACTCTGACTTGTGTCGCTCATCACCAGGCTGTATTGGAGCAATGACAGATCTAAAAGCTGCAGAGCACTAACACTTGAAGGTTGTTGCTGGACTAGGGTTAAGGTCATGGGTCAGTGCAACATGTTGCAAAGCTAAGGTCTGGTTTCTTAATGAGTTCACTGTACTACAATGGACCTACACACTTACCAGATCAGAACTTATTACAGAACTTGCAGCAGTCCCTGCCTGACTCTTTAATGACGATACAGACAACATCACTAGGAATGTTTCTGGCAATTTGTTGAATCTTTGCCATGAGGAACTGAAACAGTTCTGAACTCAAGGCTCACGGGCCAAATCTGGCCCGCTGTAGCTTTTTATGTGGCCCTCCAGACTCCAAAGTACATAAGAAGTTCCTCCAGTTTCCCACAAAGGTCACACAAATTCACAAACTTTTTTCTGATTTTACTGCATATATTCTTAAATGTGGTCAAAACATTGGGCTTATGCGACTGCTGCCTCTGCCTTATGTCACGTTATAGACCATGGCCAAAGGTCACATTTAACATCGTACATTAGCGCAAATACCGTAAAAATTCTTTATAAAGATTTATAAATTGGCACCACAAAATCTGTAATTTTGACTGCAAAAACACAAGATTCTAGAGGAACAGCTATTTGAACAGTTCAATTGGTTTTATCAATACATTCTGGCACAACCGGCCCTTTTATAATGTTCATATTATTGATATGGCCCAGAATGAAAATTAGTTTGACACCCCTGCAATGGGGGGTTCATTCTGGCACCAGCGAAGTGTACCCAATAATGTGGCCGCTGAGTGTATCTTCCTTTTTCTTACGTCTCAATGTTTTAAAGTCATTTCTTTTGCATGTGGATGCAGTCAAACACATCAGACCAGCCTTTAGGCAGCTTTAAAGACTTCTAGATCCTTTTTTTTTTTCTAAAAACAACATTGAAATAGAGACACCACAGAAACAACTACATTAATGGGGTCCTAAGAAAATAACGGTGAAATATTACCCCCATGCATGAAAACAAGTTACATCAAGAGTGAACTCTGGTCTGCGATTTGCATTAAAGGCTGTATGTGACGGGTTTTGAATAATGTTCCCTCCCTGACCTTATCATACCTAAACACAATGAGTGCACTCAGTAAAACAGTGCTTCATGCTCTACCAGTCTGCCAGTGTGACTTAAATTTGCTCTAAATTATGTTCTTGATCTTGAGATCTGCTTTACATTCAGTTTAGGTGTCCACATGCATGCCTTTATAAGGAAAAATCTTCAATGACCAAGATTTCTAGTTGACTGAATAGTTTTTGAGTTTTCTGGCCAACGCGGCACAAAAACATGCACAAAAACTTTTAATTTCTCGTGGATGTAAGCTGATGATGGCCGTCTTTCTTTGTGTGTTTTCAGCCATGCGCCGGGCTACGACAACGACCCCAGCACCCCGATGGTGTACAGCTGCAGCACACAGTACCGCATACACACACATGGAGTCTTCAGGGGCATTCAGGTGGGACTCGCACTACTGCTGCACTTTATTTATCGTCAACAGGTCATCATCTGGTCAGCTCTCTCTGCATGCGGTTATCCTGCACCTTGTTTTCTAGTTCATGTTTAGTGTCATATTGAGCATGTTGAAAACTTTGCAACAGGCAGAGGGAAAAAACACACACACACAACTGGATATGTAGTGTCTTAAAGCTAATGCAATGAGCAGGCTGTGCAAGGAGAAAACACTGATATGCAGCAGGACATGTAACGTACATGCACACAGGGTTTTTGTTTTTTTACATAAATACATTAGCAGCAGAGAAACACGTGCATAGAGTTAAAACTGTGTAATGATACAGTCTCCATACGATGATTCACATGTTAATAAATCATTAGATTTTAATTATCGTCTGTCAGCAGCTCCAAAGGACAGGGAGCAGGAGATTCTCCAGACCTGCTTTTACTCCACTACCAAGATCTTTCTTTCAGGGGCCTGTTTCATCCGTCATCCTGTTCCTTCTTCATTCTTTAGGGTCCACCTCAGGACAAAAAGAATAAACAATAGCTCAGTCCTGTGCCCCTTAAAGTATAATTTAGAAGCTGCTAAAAGGTGAGGTAACAAATTGACTTGGAGTAAAGTAACGTTAGGGTTTAAGTTTTATTGCAGGGATTACCCAAATTCACAGTCACTGCCAATGATAATACAGTTGAGGCCACAGAGGCTTTTTTTTTGTTTATTCCACTTTGAGCATTTTTTTAAATGTGAAAAATACATTTTATTATTTTATAAAGGTTTAAAACAGATTATTCAAATGTTCTCAATATTAATTACAGATAGTTTGTTTCAGCTGTATGTGAATTACAAATAAATATCTATTAAAAGACATTCATACTGTGTTATGAAGAAGGAACAAATATTAAAAGAAAGCTATCTAAACCAGCTGGTGGTGAAATGAAAATATAATTGGCCCTGATGTTAAATCGTACATGAAAAACGATGAGACGCATTTTCTGGTTTAGTTTCAAAAGCCAGGCCAGACCCGGGGGTAAAAATGACTCAAACAGAACCTTTCTGAAAACATGAAGTAAGCTAAAGTGCTCCAAAAGCAACATAGCATGTCTGATTAGCGAGAAATAATAAAAAAAAACAGAAGAGAAACAAAGTAGTGTGATAATCTGAGGGTTGCTTGGCTGCTTCAGGAAGTGGATGATTTGCTGTAATTGATTGAAAACAATTAATTAGGTTCTGTACTAGGAAATCCTCAGTCGTTGGCTTTAAGCTCAGGCATTTTGGTCGTCCCAGAATTTGGTTATTGATGGCCTAGTTAAAGCCCAGACTTAAATTCAATAGCGCTTTAGCGGCATGTACTTAAACAGACTTACCATTATTAAAAATACCCCAACAAGTACTTATTAATACTTGAGCTTTTTTTATGGCATTGCAGTCATGGATATAAAAATCGTGAATTATAGTCTTAAAATGCAGTTAAACTAGAACTTAAAATATGTAAATAATCTATCAATTCCTAATTAGTTAAACTGTGTGTTCTGTTTATTTTTTGTGACTAAGTCATGTGGATTCAGCTCTTCTTGTATCTGCAAGTCAAAGTTAAAAAAAAGTCTTTAACTTTGACTTTAAAGACTTCAAACATTTCAACTCCAGATCCACAGCGTTCTAGATGCTAACAGTGCTAGCATCTGCAGCAGCCATTCTATCTTCCCGGTCATTACGCTAAATGCTGAGGAAATTGAAAGCAGATGGCTGGAAGCAGAAGGAGACAGCGGCGGTACGCAGGGAGAGGCGGAGAAATGGAAAGTGTTGAAGGACTGAAGACATTTTGAGAATAGAGAGATAAAGGAGGGTCATGTTGTGTGTGTACGAGTCAGGATAGAGGATGTTAAATTGTGTTATTCTCCTCCAGTGACGCCTGAAATGAGGAGTGGGGTTCTCTGAGAGGGGGTCTGCCTAAAAGGCGTGACTAACTGCTCCCTTTGGGATGCAGTCATTCTGGGGTCATTTTACTGCTAATTCCCATCTCATGAATATATGACTATTTCATTGTAATGTCCCCTGAGCAGATCACAGGCCCCTAATTTACACGCAGGCTATATTTAATAGACTCTTCTTTTAATTACATCTTTACTCCTTTGGTTATTGATAGCTTCAGAGTTTTGGTCAGTTTCACCTCTTTGCTTGTTTTCTGGTTGCAGGACATGCGGCGGGTTCCCAGCATCGCTCCAGCCATTGTTCGATCAGACACCAGTGAAAAGCGCCCGTTCATGTGTACTTATCCCGGATGCAACAAGCGCTACTTCAAACTGTCGCATCTGCAGATGCACGACCGCAAACACACAGGTAGGAGCAACAAAAGCATAAGAGACACAGTTGCATGAATTATGGGATTTTATGCAACTGAAACTTCAAAACTGCTTTGCTTCCCTTTTCTGTTGTGGCCAGGAAATACTTTTTATTTAAAACATTTGGATAGCTGTGTTTTCTATCTGATCTGATGCAAATTTAATTACAACATACCTATATTTTATGACATATTGATAAGGTCAGGATCCCTGCTCCACATTTGCATTACTTTCTACGAAAGAGGTGTCCAAACTGTGGTCCTGGGGGACAATTTTGGCCTTTGGAATAATTTTATGTGGTCACTAACCTCAGTTCATCAATGACACATATTTGACTCTCCAGCAATGGAGAGACGCAGCGTGTAATTTTCTTTGGAGAGTTACTTTCAGTGACATTTTTTTTTTTACTTTTTAAAATGGAAGATGTTAAGAAGTTAATGAAAAGCAGACCACAAACATCCAGTGACATTTAGTCAAATAAAAACGTCCCACTTTTTCAGAGAAAGAGTCATATTTTTAACATTGTATTTTTTCAGGTTCATCAGAATAGACAAAAAAGAGTAATAAAAATTATGAATTACAAAACTGTATATTATTTCTTTAAAAAAAATTAAACCTATGACGCCCTTTTAAAATGTTGGATCTATAATTATTTGTTTGTCTTTTTCTATTAAAATAGTGCATGATTAATTTATTTCTGAACAGGTATATTTAAAAGCTAATTTTAAAAAAATAAACATTATTTTTGTATTTTTAATTGAAAAGAAATTTAAATCATTCTCAAAGTACTTTGTTTTGTTTGGGGGGGGGTTTGGAAAAAAATGTGATAAAATAATTAAGAAACTTCAACTGAGTTTTTGGCTCACTTTTAATATCAGGCAGTGTTAAGTACTCTTTAAGATTGTATGTGTGTCGTTCTTCATAAGTAAGGAAATAAACGTAGCTATTCGCCTAAACTTGTCCATTTCTACACACAGTCAGAAGAAGGAAAGAGAGTAAAGCAAATCTACAAACCTTGCTGTCTAGAACCACTGCTAAGAGTTGCATCAAGTTAGCAAGTTAATGAAAAAAACCTTATAACTCCATCTACATGCTCAGCATTACACACCACCATTTTTAAACCTTTGCATTCATCTCTCAACAAATACCTTGGACATCAGTCAGATGTATATGTAATCAATGAGCAATATAAAAAAGTGATCAAGAAATAAATTATGATTCAACCTCTTCTGCTATTTTTTATTTATTTTTTTTGTCCAGGGGAGAAACCCTACCGGTGTGACTTCACAGACTGCGGCCGCAGTTTTTCCCGCTCTGATCAGCTGAAGAGACACCAGAGGAGGCACACAGGTCCGAGCCGTTTCGCTTAAATCAGCCTCTTTGTCTTTGTTCATTTTATTTCTAAGCTTTTCTTTGCTGTTTTTGCTGTTCTTTGCTCGTCCTCTTTAAGCTCATCTCTGCTCTTTGCATGACACCAACCTTATGAACAGTCAGACTGCATTTAAAAAAAAAACAGAGATGCTAAAAAAGATGAATTATATCAGATAAAGTTGCTAAATGCTCGCCAAACTCTGGAATGGCTTCCCTGCAAGCCTCTGCTCTACTGTTTTTTTCTGTCTCCCTTTGTGTGCGTGCGTGTGCGTGTTGTTGTTGTTGAATTTCTGTGAACGTTTTCTGACCTGTTGGTGTGTTTGAATGTGTGCGCATGCTTATTGTACATGTGTTTAGGAGTTAGACCATTCGAATGCGAGACGTGTCAGAGAAAGTTCTCTCGGTCTGACCACCTTAAGACACACACACGGACTCATACAGGTAAAACAAGTGCGTAAAACTTTTATTTTTCCATTTCTTCTTTATCCATTTGATGTTTAAATACATGTCACAGACCTTGCTGAGAGAGCTTGGTGTAATAACTTCACCCTTCGCTTGTCACCTTCCCCGTCCTCCTGTCTCAGGTGAGAAGCCGTTTCACTGTCGGTGGCCGAACTGTCAGAAGAAGTTCGCCCGCAGCGATGAGTTGGTGCGGCACCACAACATGCACCAGAGGAACCTCAGCAAGCTCCAGCTTTCCATCTGAGCCGCAGTTCTAAACATGCGGCTTACTCCTGATGCGAAAGTAAAAATGCTGAGTGTCTGCAGAGTCATGTTAAAGAGTTACAATTTTAGATTTCCAAAAAAACTGTCTTACAGTTTCAGAGTATCAACAAAACTGTCTGCAGGCAAAAGTCCTGGCTTTTCCATGTATATGTCATGTAGATAGGAGTACGGCGAGGTTTGAAATTTTGTTTGGACTTACAGTACTGTGCAAAGTTCTTCAACCATCCAGAATTTCTTTATACTCTTCCTGCAGCCTGTGGTATTTGCTTGGACTCTTTTAAGGTTTTACAGATTATTATTTCTCAAGGATTTTCGAAGGTGTTTTTTAAGTTTTATTCTGTTACTTTTGGTTGACTTTTCTAAAGGCAACTCAAGATTTTTCCATCCCCGAAGGTTTTTAAAAAAAAAAAAGAAAAGAAAAGAAAAAAAGGTGAGAAATAACCACAAACACTGCTTGACTGGTTCTGTTGCTCGCTTAGCTCTTTTTGTTTCTGCTGCCGAAAACATGAACTATGTCACCATAGAACCGGTTCTGCGTTAACAGCGAGTCTTTACTAGTCTAGATGTAATAACTGTGACAACTTTGTTTAAAATGTTGGTTTAAATGTTAATCGATGCACTGATCTTGGGACATAAGAAACTTGTTTGTTCTGTATTTCCCGTCACATAGTGACAGCAGGTCAAGCCAGAGCACAGAGTTGGGCTGCTAGTTTTATTTAAAGCAGTGGTCTGCAACCAAAAGGTTCTGGAGCCATTTCTGCCATTTTCCATTATAGCTAAAAACCTCAATGATTAGTTGACCTAATGTTAGTTACTAACATATTATATCTATGGTCTTAAACATAGATATAATTAAAAAATGCAGGTTTAAAGAGTTTTTCTAGTTTTTATGGAATAATTTGACAGAAAGTACTAGTAATATTTGTAGATGTTTTTTGTTATTAGGTTGAAAACTGTTTTTTTTAACACATAAAATGTTTCAGAAATGTCAAAGTCCTATTGAAGAAAATGTATCCATCACCTTTTTACAAAAGTTGTAAAAAGATGAAAAAAGATGTAAATTATGGGAAAATTCCTATAGTAGACGTTTATCAAAAGCTATATATGTTGTTCTTTCTGAAAAATATGAAAGGCCAAAAACTGGACTCAAAGCAAAAATTCTTGTTTGGATTAAAACGTTTGTAGATCCCTGATTTGAAGAAAAAAAGGTCTGTAACTTCTCATTAGAACTAATTTCACTAAAACTTGGTTTTAAAAAAAAACATAATTGTGGAAATGGAGAGATTAGCTCATGTTGGTCGTATCTGATCAGAAAGTTGTTTTTTTTAAGTTAAGCTGGGCATGCAGACATCCGGATGCAGGAAAACCGATATAAGTAATGGGGTTTGTGTGGTTAAACTGTCTCCTATCGCTGCAATCCTCCACAATAATTCAGAATACAACAGAGAGAGGATCCAACATTCACTGTGCTTCTAGTGCTAAACCAGGGCTGGTGCTAGAGCTGTTTCTGTCCTCGCTCCAGAAAAACAGATGTCAGTAAGTCAGCTGAAACTGTCGGCTGGAAAAACATCTAGAAGCAGGCTTTTTTTGTTTTCTTCGACATTATTAGTTTTTGTTTATTTTTATTTTTATTTTGTTTTGCCTTTGGCACCAACTTCCAAATTGAAGAATTTGTAGTGTTAAAATGATCATGAATCCTCAGCAAACAATGCGAGTGAACGCACATTGTTTGCTTCAGCTGCTTCTGTGGGAAAAACCCTCTTCCTCAAAAGCAATGGTCTTTTCACGCCGGCGTTATTTTCCACTTTTGCAGTTTTACCTGTTTCGTACCTTTCAGAATAGATTCACACTCACCTTAGGGAAGTTATTTTTACTGCTGATTTTCAATCATTTTCTTTGAGCTGCTTCTATTCTTCTTCCACGTTACTCCCATACGGATGTTTCTCATTAATGCTTTGGTTTTATGGGGCGGTCATCATCCATAGAGAGTAAGATGAAATCTTACCAAAAATACCACACAATTTAATTAAATTATTCGTCCGATTTGAGAATTTTTTATCATTTCTATGACTGATAATTTTTGCTAAATATTTACCTACAGAATCTATTGAACTGAAATGCATTGGTTAAAGAAAGTCTCTGAAGTTTTGTTCACAAGTGCAAATTGGATAAATTTGGACAAAAAGGCAAAACATATTGATAGAAATAATTGTTCCAAAGACTTCATATACACTTGTTTATTATTTTTCTGTGAAAAGAAAAGATCTAATGGCAGAAAGCACCAACCCTAAAGCTAGACTGTTTCTTCACCTCAATGAAACTAGTTTGGTTTCATCATCAGCTTTGGTTCAATTGGGGTGATCCGAAATCATCTCGGATCACTCCAATTGTCCGAATTCATCAAATTTATCAGAAATGGATCCAAAAATGTTAACAAACATTCACATCATATCATAAAGGGTGTGTGTCCAAGCTCTTCGTTGCATAGAAATACATTTTTCATATCTTTGTTTTGGGTTTTTTTTTCTCGACAGGAAACGTAATACAAGTCTGTCCATACATACTTTATCACAAAGAAAATTGCTTTTTCATAGCATCATTTTTTTGGGAAAGATGTTTGAGAATCTTGAGCCATTTAGAATAAACACAATTCTTTGTGTTTATTGGGCAAGATCTTCATAAATATTTTCACCGAGATGCAATGAAAAATGGGATAATGTCTTTTGGAGATGAGGTTGAAGCTTTATTGTCCATCTTCTTGGCACCTTTTGGTCGTTTCAGATATCTCTGATGTGGAACTACTTTGTGAACAGTGGTGGTTTTTGATATGGGCAACATGGGCAGTTGCCCAGGGCGTAATTAGGAGGGATGGGGGCACCAGAAACCACCGATGTTTGGGAAGATTTATTATTTATTGTCTCATTGTGGACAACGATTGCTTTCACTGGAATTATTTGAAGGTGAAGAGGTCTCACTCTGTCTCTATGTAAAAAAAAAAAAAAACATCTTTGCTTTCAGGTTACTCAAGTTACAGTTAGCTTTTAATTACAAGCAATTACTTCTTATCTAGTGTTTTGCAGATGGAACATGCAGAAAGATGCCTCCGAGGTATTTATAAAGTGACCTTTTTCATTTTAAGTAATGTGATTATTTTTTTTCTGTGTCTGTGGTGTGTAAATGTTACAGAACTTTGGCTGCGTGTTCAGGCTTTAAAATATGTCTGCTGGGTCGCACTGGCTCTGCGGCCGAGTCGTTACGGTCGAGATGTAAATAATTCTTCTTCTCCATGTTAACTGAGCTCTTCCATGGAGAAAAACATGTAACTTAAGTGATTTCTTTTTCGTTAGTTGGATCCAGGAACTGTTGTAATGTTCTTCCTCTGATCTGAGTTACACACAAAAAAAAGCAAATATTGTTGAAATGTTTTGTATCCAGAAGTGTGAGATAATAAACGAATGCCATCAGTATGTTTTTGGGACTGATTTCATACAGTGAAAGCTTACAGTCGTTCATTTGTTGTCTTTGTTGCTACTTGAGCAAATGCTTTTCATTAAAGGCTACAATATGGACAATGAAATAAATTCCCCTTTGCAGACTGGAAATGGGAACCACTGTTATCAGTTTTTGACAACTTGAAGCAAGCTCAAGCAAATATTTTTAAATGTCGAAAATATTATGTGCAAAGATCATCAAAAAATATTACATCAGACGAAAAATGACACTTTAATTTGATAGGAGAAAAAGGTAGCCAAAGCTACCAAATCCCAAGTTAAGAGTAATTTTACTGAACTTAATGACTGGTTCTAACATCAAATGTCACGAAAAGTTTGCCCAAACTGCCAGTTCAGGCCTTTTTTTTTTATTAAAGAAATGTTTATGCTTTCAAAAATAAGCGGCTGAGTTGAGTCCAGACTTTAACTAGGCCACTCCAAAATCCTTTCAGCCATTCAGAGGTAGATGTGTCAGTGTGCTTTGTGCTGCTTAGGTAACATGAGAGTACTTGCATGGTGGCCACACGTTCACGTTGAGGATTTCGTAGAGGCAAGCAGAATTCATGGTTCCATCAATGACATCAAGTCGTCCAGGTACTGAAGCAGCAAAGCAGATCCAGAACATCAATCTACCACAACAATGTTTGACCTTTGGGATGATGTTCTTGCTCTGTATTAGTTATGCTCAAGATATAAAGAGTCTCACACCATACTAACTGTTGTCTTGCCCGTCCACAGAGTATTTCACCCACGGTGTTGTTGGTGATGTAGATCTCTTTTGGTAAAGGTGGGAAAAATATTTTGGTTCTTTTTGATCAGCAGTGGTTCTGGCTGTGGAACTCTTCCATGGATCTCATTATGGCCAAATATCTTTCCTATTTTTTAATGCTGTTGTTGTATGTTACTCAACGTACAGAAATGAGGCCTGCAGTGCTTTAGACATTGTCCTGGATTCTTTTGTGACCTCTTGTCTGGGTTGGCCACATAATGACTCTTGTTCTGGTTTGTTGGACTCCCAAATGATTTGAAATTGATTTCTGACTCTCTCCAGACAGACAGAGGTCAATGACTTTGTAGTCACTGTTTTTGCGTTCTTTCATATCACACATATGACATGTTTGTTTGTTTGTTTTTTATATATTTTTTAGCCTACTTTGTGATTTTTGAGAGATTCTGTTGAAGTTCTTTTTTTACACATAGAACCAGGCTGATTTAGATTTAATTTATCCTTACTGGATGCAATCAATATCAAAATCCAAACTGTTCTTTTGTATTTTCTTTTATGTTTACCTGATGTACAATTTCATTTGAAACATTCAAGTGAGAAGAAAAAAACTAACAAAACCAAAGGAAAATTGTAGCATGTAAATTATTTTTCATAACGGTGCGTGTCCTACAAGAAGGTTTGATATTACATTTTTCTGTTCAGAACCAAAATGGCACTTTTTGATGATAATTTTAAATAGCAAGAATCATGCAGGATTCAAAAAACCAGACACGAATAGTTGCACAACCACAAGCTCACACAGTACAGTACAGTACCATCCACTTTCCTCTCTTCGTTATCTCTCTCCAGATTCCTCTTTGCATTCCTTAGCTCTGCTCTCAGTGAAAAAAAAAGATAAAAAAATTAATGTGTTTTTTCTCAGCCAGTCTCTCTGGCTGCCCTATTTTTTTTAAGCTCCTCATACGTCCTTGATCACCAACAGCTTAATTTTTCAGGTCAAAAGTCATTGCGTACTTCACGTCTTTTTTTTTTTTTTTTGTTCTCCGTCAAAGAGGAAATGTTTTTTAGTCGATTATTAACAGCACTTAACTTTCAATAAATGAATTTATGGTGTTCTAGATTTTTTTTAGCGATATTGTTTTTGACAAAAAAAATCGACAAACTGGAAAACAAAGACATATGGGTTTCTTTTCGTGAACTTTTATCGTAAGTTTAGCCAAAGTGTTAGTGTAAATCAGACAATGTGTCTAATTCCCTCCGTGGAAATCCCCTGAAACTCCCCAGGGCTCTTGTGCTATATCTCAGCTGTCGGACAAGGCCCACATCTCTCATCCCTCTTTCTGCTCTTTGTGTGTGTGTTTAGCATTTAATCTCTACTCCATCCTCTTGCCGACGAGGCCCTTTGAAGCCTGATATCTGGTCAGTGTAACTGTGGCTTTGTCCACTTTCAGTAGTCACATTACACACTGGATCTTAATGTTCTGCTTCGAACGGATACGGAGAGCGTAGACCATGTTACAATGACAAGAATTATCTCATATGAACCCATCACAGAAGTCTAGTATGTAAGGCTAATTATGACATTTAATTTAACTTTTTTTTTTACTCAAGCTTTGTATTCAGAATAAAGCTTTAAAGCTAAAGTCTTTTCCTGTCCCTATTTATCTATCTATCTATCTATCTATCTATCTATCTATCTATCTATCTATCTATCTATCTATCTATCTATCTATCTATCTATCTATCTATCTATCTATCTATCTATCTATCTATCTATCTATCTATCTATCTATCTATCTATCTATCTATCTATCTATCTATCTATCTATCTATCTATCTATCTATCTATCTATCTATCTATCTATCTATCTATCTAACCCTCAGCTAACTAAAACAAATCTAGCCAACTACTATTGGAGGTAAAAATGACACAAACATAAAGGAAAAATAAATGAAATATTGCAGTAATGCTGTCTTTGTGTTGAAACTAACGAGATGATACTGTAGATGGTTTTTTTTACTGGTACCGTTCTGCACAGTCCGTCCCCCAGATCGATAATCAACCACAGAAACACACACACACACACCCACCCACCCACACACACACACACACACACACACGCACAGTATGTCTTTCTATCTTCACAAGAACTTTGCATCTACTTCCTTTAATTTTTTTATTAATTTCTATAACATTAGCCTGACCTCTACACTAAACCTAATCTTTACCAGTACACACTGAACCCCAAATTTAGCCTAAACTCAAATCACATCCTAATCCTAAAGCTAACTGCTAATCCCAAAATAGCATCTCTTCTTATGGGGTGTGGGATTATTGTACTGATTCAACAGTTAGTTCTTCAGTTTTTGTTTTCTTAAACCACTTTTTACAACAGAAAATAAAATAGTGGTATCCATCGCAGCTGTTGGATTTTTATTTTCTTATGTATTTGAATGACTAGTTATCTATTTACGTTTGCTTGCTTTTTATTTTGCAAAATGCCTTTTCTTTACCACTTCTTCTGATTCACCATGTTCCTTTCATCCATAAATCAACCTTGTTATCAAAGAATAGTTGCAAATGAAATATTGTATAATTAAGAGAAAGAAGCAGAAGTAGTTTGCAGCATTTTTTGGAGAGGCCGGGAGGTCACTCGTGCAACTTGGCTGATGTGCTGCAGAGATCAAAAAGGTCAGGTTGCATTCAGACTCTCTAAAAAAACACTTTCAAGCACTCAGCCTGCACAAGCAGCTGATCTTTGTGACTCCTCCAAATCCCTCTCATGTTGATTTGTTTCCTCACTCTAAGAGGAGCGGAGCAGAAACCAGGAGAGAAGATTAATTATGACCTTCTCTTCTCTTCAACTCTGTTGTGTTTGTTTTCATAAGTTAAGCTCAAACCCTTTCCTGACTCTGTTGTTGATCACTCTGGCATTTAGCTTCACTGATTTCTTTAAGATGAACATTTCTGGAAGCTTGCTCCTTAACAACAAAGCCTGATGTTTTGGTCAGTGTACGTTTACACTGACCATGTTCAGTTTGTAGGTCATCATGATAATGATGTAATCAGGTTGTTTTGTTGATTTTTATTGTTGCTGTTTTCAACTGTGCTTGACAATTCCCTTTCTAAAATATAAATGCCAATGCAAATTTTAACGGCTTCTAAAAAGTCATATTGTGTGTTTTAAGGAAGAGCCACCGGCCGTGTGGGGGAACTCTGCCTCCACCTGGTGGCTGATCTGCGTCATTACAACTCAATCCAGTGAAACTGAGCCTTGTTTGAACTTGAGCGCGTTTCACACTCAGTATGGGAGATTTCCTCTCTACTCAATGGACTCCATATTTCAATTCTGACTGAATAACAAGTGTTTCCTGCTTAAACTTTACAGCAAAACGTCTTAAACTCGTTCAGGCGTAAATGCGAAGAAAACGTGACAGAAAACATTTTTATGTTTCTTAGTGTAAACTAAACTGATTTATTATTATTTTTTAACCAGTGGCGGAGCCAGAGGGGTGGCCGAGGTGGCACTTGCCACTCCCAACAGACCCTGGCCACCCCTAGTGCCACCCCACTGGAAATGGTAATTTTAAAATATAATACTTATGAGATCGGCAAAGATTTGCCAGGAAAACTGTAATTTCCGACTGTCCCTGAAGGCAGCCCGATGCCCGACGCTGTTCATTGGTTAAACTGACATGTGGGTCCTGCTTGTTCAAAAACACATCCGGCTTTAGTTACACCGTGGAGGAGTTTTGAAGGTATTTACAACATTTTACCGCTCAGCTGTAACCGCTGTTACCTTCCTAATGAGAGGCGGCACTTGTCATACATTTCTAAAAAGAAAAAAAATGGTTGTGCCTCGTTTATTATATTAGCCATGCTAGTGCTGGTAGATCTTGTTTTAGACAGATTCTTTTAACATATGTTTTAGTGCACATGCTGCCCTGTAATGTTTTATATCTCCCAGCTCTTGCTTGAAATGTGTGGTAAGAATATGTGAAAAACCATTAAGTTTTATAATGATTGAAATGTAAGTAGGCTATGTCATATGAAAGCTTTGAATTATAACCTAACTAGTTATATTAATTAATTTGGAACGAAAGGAAACAAATTTTTTTTCCCTTTCGTTCCATGGAACGGTCCATTTGTATATTGACCCCTCTGATAAAGCCTTGCTCACCCTTTGGCCACCCCTTGAAAAAAAAGCCTGGCTCCGCCACTGTTTTTAACTAAAGCTCAGCTGGAGATGAAGCTCGGTTTCGTTTCGCTCGCAGCGCTGCAGCTGATCGGCCCCGCCCCCTGCTCCTCGGAAACCTGTCAAGTTTTGTTTCTCGTCTCCCTGCTGGGTTTCGTTTCAGCCAGCTGAGCAGCACAACAAACATCAGCTGCTGTCCCGGCGAGGCTCACAGGCGAGATGTTTGCCTGGGGAGAAGACTGTCGGCGAGGCTTCTGTGTGAGAGGAGACCCCGTCACGGAGGAAGGAGTTCATTATTTCAATTTGGGTCACGATGTCACGGATCTATCAGCGGGACGCAGCGTGCTGGCTTTCCTGAAGTGCAACGGGAATGCGTTCGTTTTGCGCACTAATGAGGGCAAAGATGGAAACAGAGTCAGAGGGAAACAGAGTGAGTGTCTGTGTTTTTTTTTTTTTTTTTTTTTTGTATTTTAGTTTTTTTTTTTTGTTTCGAGTGCATCTTTTAGTCATTTCTGAGTTATAAGCGGCTTTTATTCACCTGTCAGTGGCATTGTTTTATATTTAGTTTAGGCTTTTAAAGACATATTTAAATTTGGACTGATAATAGGATATAAGCTTTAACTTCAAGTACTTTAAAATAAAAAAAAACCCTCCTGGGTGGATGCGTGATGTTGAATTTGCTTCGTTCAGGTTCCACATATACAATCAGTGGCGGCACCAATTGGTGGGTCCAGGGAGGCCATGGCCATTCCTTTAAATTTGCCATTCTGCCCCACCAACCACACTTGTACACATAATGTTTGTAAATAATAATGATAATAATAAGATGTAGGAGAGATAAAGATAAGATTTCATGAGTTGATATGCATTCATTTATCTGTTACTTTCTGCCTTTGCCCTTTTATTCTTGTCATTCATTCCTGGCTCTGTGTTGAACTGGAATCAAGATAACACATTTAGGCCAGAAATTGTAGATAAAGAGTTACAGTTTTTAAAATTAGGACAAAGTATGTCAAATCAGGATGTTTCTGAAGGGGCCATTTTTATATGGCTGACAGAGGGTCAGGTGTCCATTACCCTGTGATGTGGTAATGAGTAAATTGTCACGTTAATCCAGTACATATGAATTATTTCTGTGTATTTACAGAGTTTGTGAAGTGTAAGGAGAAGATTGAGGCAGTGAGCTGTGAAGATGATGCAGTATTGCTGCTGTCTGAGAAAGGCTCCGTTTTCTGTGTGGACACGAGCCACACCCCGTACACACCCAGGTGAGAAAACGAAGCCAGGTTACGATGCTGGCATACAAATGGCTTCAATTCATCCTACAAGTCATCTGATTCTTATTAAGAGTTGATTAAGATTTTTCCTCTACTTTCTTGCAGGATATTGGACGCTTTTTCCGGCATATCGGTTGTACAGGTTGCTTGTGGGAGCCAGCATTCAGTTGCTTTGACAAAAGGTTTTCAACATTTCTGCATTGTAGATGGCAAATTATATTATTAACTTCAGTCTTCTGACGTTTTCTTTTTATTGGTATTGCCTTCATCACAATGACATAAGGACTTATTACTAAGCTTTTCTTGGCTCCTCATTTTTTTTGCGATTTCAAGAGTCTTAAGTTTGGTTAAAATGTTTAAGACACGACATGAACAGTTCATGACGTCGTGATGTGGATCCAGCAGTTAATCCTGGTGATCTTCCTGCAGAGGGTCAAGTGTACACCTGGGGCCTGGACTCCAGGGGTCAGCTCGGACAGGGGAAGAGAAGCTCAGAACCGAGAAAGCCTCAGCAAGTCCGATCCTTGTTGTCCACCCCCGTGGTTCAGATCTCTGCAGGAGGAGACCAGAGCTTCGCCCTCTCCGTGTCCAGAGGCGTGTTCGGCTGGGGCAGAAACGACTGTGGGCAGCTCGGACTGGGAGACACAAAAGGTGCTGTTAGAAATGAATTCATAGCTATTCAGATGTCTAACCTTGCATATCTTGCATAGTAAATCTCTTTTATTTTTTAGACATGCATACACCAGCTTGTGTTCATAGTTTGAATCTGAAGAAAACAGCCGACATTTGCTGTGGAAAGGACCACACCGTCGTTTTGACAAAGGTTTGGGAGCAACATAAAACCATCCAATTGCTTTTTTTGTTGTTGTTTTTTTGAAAATGAAGATTCTTGTTTTTGGGACAAATTAAGTTAAACTAAAAGTTGCATTTTTTAGACTTAAAATTATTTCTAGAAATTAAGACTTTGAGAGTATTTTTAAACATCTAAAGATATTCATTTAATAATGGGCTTCAAAAGGAAGAATACAATTTGTCATTTACTGTTATTACTACTGTTTGACTATTGAATAGAAAGAGGCTGAAATCTTTTTGAAGTTACCAAAGTTTACATTTGTAAAGTTAAAATTTCTGTTCCTCACATTTGTTCTTATTTGAAGTGTTGCATTAAAAATATGCTGGATGTAAAGTTTTGAAGTTTGGATTTTTCAGCACGGGGCAGTGTTCACGTTCGGTTCTGGTCAACATGGACAACTTGGACACAACTCCTTGCGAAATGAACTCCGGCCTCGACTTGTTGCTGAACTTTGGGGGACAAAAGTTATCAAGATTGCGACCGGGAGGTAAATTACAGATTGTTGTAGCACTGGTAGGAGAAAAAATGCCCCATAGCACAAATAATAATAAAAATTCACCAGTCTAGTGTTTATAATGTTTATGATGTTCTTTCAATCCAGGCATCACACGTTAGTTTTGACAGACAATCAAAAGGTCTACTCCTTTGGTTGTGAAACTCAAGGTCAGCTGGGAAACAGAGAAGAAACCAACCCATCTGTGCCGTTACCTGTTCGCCTACCTCGAGGTAACTTCATGTATAGGATAAAGATAAAAATCTAAACACTATTCCATGTTAACTTTATATAGTAACTTACTTCATTACTAGTTTCAGGTGCAGTTCATTCCAGAATTGGAACGATCTTTGCTGGAGAAAACTGTTCATTTGCAGCCTGCTCTTCTGATGAGGTACCAGTGACAATGTTTGCCAAACAAAGAGATGAACATGCAACAGGATCGGCCACCTCACTTCACTTTTTTCCCAATCAGGAAGTTGGCATAAATTCAGACACTAACACAGTCAGTAAAGCAACTCGGCACTGTTTAGAAGTTGTGGTTGATAACTGGACGTTTAAACATGATGAGAAGTCATGGAGAAAGATTCGCCAGTGAGTATTTACCACTAGCAGACCGCTGAATAACATGACGTTAAGTTCTGCTACCCTAAATAAAGATTCCTGAAACAATTCTTCTTCTTCTTCTTCTTCTCAGGGAAATCCACAAGACATTTTTATCTGCATCCTGTTTGAACAAAAGCTTCCTTGAAGAAAGGTAAAGATGCAACTGTTGAGACTTTTGTAACTTAAAAGTCAAAACATCCCATTTTCCTTTAACCTATGTATGTTCTAATTCGAGTAGACATATTTTAATTAAAGATTGTCTTACTTCTATTAATCTTCAATAAATGTATTGTTATTTTTCAGTATATTGGATGTTTTAACATTGATCAGTTATTCAATTATTGAAATAGTATCTATTTCAGTCTAGTAACAAATTAAAGATCATAATTTATGGTGACTGTCTTTTCTGCTCAGAAAAAATAAACATTTGAAAACCTCATCAAAGTACCACGGTCTGAACCTGAAACTGGCTCGACGGCATTTTAAGAAACTGGTCAAGACAGAGTATGTCTGGATAGAGGTTTGTCTCTCCTCCTGTTCAATTGTACAACATACATTTGTTTTTCAGACAACTACATGACAACTTGGTTGATATGCTTTCATTTGTTTTTTTATCCATTCATCATTTTTTTAATCTATCTGTTGTTTTTTTCCCTTTAATCCACTTGCGTGTGAATTAACACATCTCTCAGGTTGAAGCAGCAGTTCTCCGTTTGCTTCCTCTCCTCGATAAGAACCCAGTCGGAGTGGAGAGTCTGAGGATCTATCTGCTCCTCAATGAGCTTCTCCATGTCATCCAGAAGTACAGAAAGCAGCAGCGCAGCAGGCTCCCAGAGAGGGTCGCCACTGCTGTAACAAGCCTGTCAAGGGAAAGCCTCAAGGTTCTAGGTACTGTTACCTAGTTTAGCTGAAATTACTTTGGCAAGTGATCAAAGCTTTGTGCGGTAAATGTTACTATTGTCATCTCTAGGTGAGTGGTGGGCCTCGCTGTCGTCATCCACCATGGAGAGATTTGTCAGCGTGTGGAGGCAAGCGCTCTGTCTGATCTTGTCCGACGAGGATGCTCCTCGCAGAGATGGTGTCAGGAACCTGCTTCAAGTTCTTCAGTATATGTACAATGTCAGTATCATAATCTGAAACAGGATTGTCATGTTTGCTTTTTGGTGTTGTTTCTTTTTAATGATAATTAAGGTCTTGTCCGACAGGTCAACAGCAGGGTTTCCGAGTCTCGAAGGCTGCCAGAAAGTGATTTTTATGTGATGATCGACCAAACGTTTCTCCTTTCAGAACTGCAAATTTGGCGTTTAAAATCAAAACGCAGGGTAAGAAAGTTTCAGTCAGATTTAACTCAGAAATTAAACAGACATCTTGTTTGTAAAAACTCTGAATAACTAGAAACTCAAAGATCATGTTGTACTTTTCACCTTTTCAGTATGTGCTTGATGAGCCACTTGTTCTGTGCAACTTCCCCATTGTGATGGATCTGCAAACAAAGACAGTGGTTTTTCACATGAATACTGACCTCACCAAGGTAACTGCTGTTTTATTATGATGTCTGCATATGCTTTGTATATATGAAGTTGAAAACCAGAAGTTTACGTACACTAGATAAAAAAACACATACACCTTTTTGAGAAACTGCAATACCACAAAACTTTGCTTCTTTATTTATGTTTTATGTCTACTGAGCTTGCAATCTGTGCCCTAAATTTGTGTTCTTATGTTGGATCTATTTATCTTTACAGGCGGAGTTCATATTGAGTATGAACCTGACGTTCATGGAAATGCTTCTGATTTTAGGATCAGGGTGTTGCCCTAAATCTTTCTACTTGGATCTGCACCTAAACCGAGCGTCTGTGTTGAACGACACATTTGAACTGCTGGCTAAGGCTGATCAGAAAGATTACAAGAAACATCTTGTGGTACAAGACTGAAAGCTTATTAAGCATAATTGAGTTAACTGCTTCTGTAGAGTGTGAAAAAAAATCTTATTGGTTCCTTTTGTATTGCAGGTGATTTTTGATGAGCACTATGACCCTAATTACATTGACGTCTACGCAAAAGACTTTTTCCATGAAGTCTTTCATGAGTTGATGTCTGCTGAATCTGAGATGTTCATGTTCAATGACTCCAAAACACTGGCGTGGTTCTCCTCTGCAGTAAGACTTGTTAGTTTAGAAATAACTGATTCTGAGCTCAGTTAATTATCTTTTTCTTTTTTTCTTTTTTATTAATGATCTAAACCACCAATATCAGGCTTCGCAGGAGGACCAGCGTTTCCACCTGTTTGGGGTTCTGTGTGGACTGGCTTTGTACAACAAGGTGCTCATTTATTTACCCTTCCCACTGGTGCTGTTCAAAAAGCTGCTTGGACTGAGGCCTTCACTGGACGACTTGAAAGAATTCAGTCCAAGTTATGGCCAGTAGGTAGAATTTATAAATGGTTTTAAATAAAAATATATGTATTTATCATTCAAAATGATCTTTGTGTTGTTTTCTTTTAGTGGCCTGCAGTCCATCCTAGACACAGAAGAAGACCCAGAGGAGATGTATTTTACAGTGAGTGTTGAAGTTAAAAGAAATGTCACCATTCATTTTAGATCTTTGATATCTAACAGCTTTTTTAAATAAACTCAGAGACAAGTAACACCAGTATTTCATTTCTTTAAAGATCCCATGGGATGGAACTGAGATCGATCTTGATCCTGAAAATCCTGACAAGCAAGTTACTAGTGAAAACAAGTAGGAAAAAATGTCATTCAATTTGTTCTCATCTATTTACTTAAATTATAAATATATTAGAGTTTTGAATGATCTGGAAATGAAACCTTATAAACCAACTGAAGAACAACACATAGATACTCCATGGTCTGGCGTTAGTCTCCATAAAATACCTCAATAGGCATGATTGCATTTCTTCTTCAAATCCATAAAACTCATGCAGGTCTAAAGACTTTGGTTAGTCTAATGACTAAGTATTTCCTAGAAAAATACTTATGTGGTGTGGATTTAGTTCCACAGCTGACCTAAATCCACACCGGATGTTCGGAACTCACTCTTTGATAATTTGTCCGAAACAATTATTAAAAATCGTAAGCAATTAAATTTCCGTCATATGTGTCCAACCCATTTTTGAGAATGACAATTTTTATCAACTCAACAGGAGAGAGTTTGTTGACGCCTTTGTGAGCTACGTCTTCAACACGTCAGTGGAGGTTGCGTTTTACGAGTTCAAGCGAGGTTTCTTCCAAGTTTGCGACCGGGATTTGGTGAAACTTTTTACACCAAAGGAGCTGCAAGAAACCCTTGTGGGAAAGGACTTCCATGACTGGGAAAAGCTGAAACAGGTACTTTCTTTGTGACAGTATGCATTCTGAGCTGTTTGAGTTATCGCTGACTCCAGGTGTTGGTCTTCTTTTAAGAACACAGTTTATGAGGGCGAGTACGACGCCGACCACCCCATCATACAGATGTTTTGGGAAGTTTTCGATGAGCTAAAGGAGAGTCAGAAGAACACCTTTCTGTGTGAGTACCAAGTCAGATTGTTTAGTCAACATTATTTAGGAAAACACAACTAGAATAACGAATTGTCCCAACGAATCGCTTCCATTTTCAAAAAAAAATATATATATATGTACGGGAAACAAATTTTTGGACTCAACGTAATTTCTGACAAAAACTTATAAGTACTTGGCATCCATTTTAAAGTGCCTTGGATACTGCTTTATTATTTTTATTGTTTTCTCCACAATTCCATCTATTTTTACAGAAAATATCTAGCAAAGATTCTCAGATTTTTGTTCCTTTTGTTGAGAGAGAAATATTAGTCCACCTCTATGAAATCAGAGTTGCTTGGGGTTCAGTTGAAGCTGAATTACAGGATTACAAAGGACAGCATATTATGCCATCAACAAAGTTTAGATTGTATTTATTGATGACCAGATAAACAAATATACCACTCACTACAACTTTGTCTGTGAGGGGAAAAAAATAAAAAAATATCAAAAGTTAATATTTCTTTGGAGAAAGTTTCCGTAAAGGCAAATTTATTCCTGTTGTATAGCTTATATCCACTAATAACCTCTTTTACCTGCATCAGGGTTCGTCACTGGGTTTGAACGGGTGCCGATCCTCGGCTTGGACAAAATAAAGATGAAAATCAAAGTTAAGACCACGCAGGATGACCAGTATTATCCTGCGACCCACACGTGTTTCTCCACCCTGGAACTGCCGCCGTATTCGACCAAAGACGTCATGCGAGCCAAACTAACCGAAGCTCTCAGCAACAAAAGGATCAGTCAGTGCATCTGATTCAGGATGAATCTCTGACTGGATCTTTACTGAGTGATGCGGATGTTTTTACTCACGGACACAGCACTTCCCCAACGATGAACACTATGTGTATATAAAGAAAAATAGGTTTTAAACTAAAACAGTTTTACTGAAAACCTGCAAGAAGTTGTTCCTGTCATGTTTTGTAACCCATTGTTATGCTTTAGTTTGCTGAGATGTTAAAAGTAATTATTAGACTAATAAGATTTTTTCTTCAGTCCGATGGTAGTGTGGGGAAATTTTCTGTATGTATATTTGTTTTCTTACTGTTAAGTTAACAGCATTTAAGATAAAAACGAACATCGTAAACTGAAAAGCGTGGACAGAGGGACAGTATTATACGCTCTTTATTTTTTACAATTACATTATCTATAAAGATCAGTATGCTTCTTTAATAAAATCAACAAATAAAACTCAGGGGACTGGTGTGCTGTGCTGTGCTGGTGCTGGGTTTAAGCACAGCCCACATGTGGAGGCCCAAATCCCCAACTCAGCCGTTGTTGGTTTGATTCCCGGCCCACTTTCCTGTCAATCCACTATCAAATCAAGGCCTCTAGAGCCAATAAAACTCAAAAGACGTAATCCTAATGTTGTGTTTGCTTGTGCACATTTCACAAAATGATGTTTGAATATCAACACAGACCATAGAGCTGAGGAAATGTTGAAAGTGAGAGTACGACTGACTTTGATACAACAGTTTTGATATTCAGATTAAAATATTTCAAATAACTTCAAGTTAAAATGTAAAGTTTAAAGAGACTAGCAGCTATACTTTGTAAAAGTGTAAGATGATTGTGTTCATATGTACAATCTGATGCTAAGTGTTTGATCTTTTCTTGGTGCTTGAATTGAATTCACAAACCACCAAATTATCTGATTTTAATCTCAGCCAGTAAAATTCCACTCTTCAAGATTTCCCCCCAAAAAGCATTGAAAAACTTGGTTTTAACTGTTATTAAGGACATTAAAACCTTATTAATGTCCTCATTAACATGATTAAGGCTAATGTTAACTCTACTTAAGGCCCCATAAGACCTTGGACAAAAGGTTTAAATTATGGATCCTAACCTTTAGAAAGGATTATTTCATGTTTGCCTTAAAGAAAGTCGACCAGTTTGTAAAGTATTTTGGCACCAATTAAAAAATGTATTCTGTTCTAAACAATCATAAGTGTCGTCTCATTTATTTATTTATATTTTTGTCTTCAGCCAAGTTTATTCCAAGGAGATGTGAGTGCACCAAAGTTTACCTCTCAGCCAAAAATCCCTGTATGTGTTTCTGTTTACTAGGAAATGAAAAGTATGCAGCAGAAAGCGCACTTCTGACACAATGAACACTAGAAGGTTTCACTTTCGTTTACTGTTGAGAACAGCTCAGACCTGGAGGTGTGTCATATTGATCAAGCGTCATAGTTTTGTTTTCCTTTCCTCACAAAAAAACAAACAACAAGCCCAGTTTCGTTTTTCTTACAGCTGAGTCATTAAAAGGAGCAGCAGTAAAACGCAGCCTCACTCACCAACATGTTTTGCTGGGGTGAGGACTATCGGCGGAGCTTCCGCCAGAAAAAGGCCTCGGATGTCCCGACTTCAGACCGAGTTCATTTCTTGAACCTCAGCTTTCACATCCGGGACCTTTCTGCCGCCCGCAACGTTCTCGCTTTCGCCAAAGACGTCGGAGACGCGTCTGTGATCCGCGCGCAGGGGAAGCAGAGTGAGTATTACGGTAATCCTCGGTAGCGACCGGATGGGAGACAGCCTTCGTCTGGCGCTCATGCTGCTGCTGCTTCATCTGCAGAGTTTGTTGACTGTGGCGAGAAGATCCGCGCTGTTTGCTGTGGGGATGACGTGGTCACGCTGCTCTCTGACGCAGGGAAAATCTTCTGCGTGGACCCAAACGCCACTCCGTTCACTCCCAGGTAACAGGGGATTCAGGACCGCGCTTTGTTTCTGCTGTGATGATGATGATGATGACGATGACATTGATGTTGGACATTATACATGATGATGATGACGTGTTTGTTTTTTTTTTTTTCATCAGACCTCCACCAGTGCTGTCCAGCGTCACAGTGACCCAGATTGCTTGTGGGAGCCATCACACTGTTGCACTCACCAAAGGTACTGTTGACTCGCAGTCTGCTCTGCTTCAATATTTGGTTAGAAATATGAAATATTATAGGTTTAATGATCATTTATTAGGATCACTGGTCAATTATTAAAGTGTGGTTTTGTGGAATAGTTGTTAGTGGTCAGTATCTGAAACAAATTGATTTTTTAAAAGTTGGGTTCTACAGAGAGGGTCATAAATCATGATAACAAAAAAAAGATGGGGTAATTTGTGGTTAACTCTTCTTGCAGCAGCCAAGAAGAAGAAAAAAATCCAATAAACTGAACGGTTGATGTTTTATCACAGATGATCAAGTGTACACATGGGGCCAGGACTCCAGGGGCCAGCTGGGACTGGGAGGGAGTCATTCTGGAGCCGGTTCACCTCAACACGTCAGATCTCTGTCGGCCATCCCCGTGGTTCGGATCTCTGCGGGAGGAGAGCATAGCTTTGCTCTCACCGTGTCTGGAGGCGTGTTCGGCTGGGGCAGAAATGACTGCGGACAGCTCGGACTGGGAGACACTGAAGGTGCTGCACAGATATATCATTACCCTCTGCTTCTGCTCAGACCACTGGTTTATGCTGTGTGGCTGATGACTGGTGAACCACTGCTGTGGAGTCAGATACACAAATATGTGAACCTTACTAAAAGTTAGACCTTATTTTGATTTTTATTTGTTGAACAGCTTTTAATCATGTTGTAATTATACATTTAAAAGTCTGGCTGCTTCCTACATTATTTTACTGAAACTCAAAATATTGGTTCATACAGATAGAACTACACCAGCGCCGGTCAGTTATCTGAACACGAAGAAAGTCATTCACATTTCCAGTGGACAGGAACACACTGTGGCTCTGACAAAGGTCAGTGATCCTAAAGTCTTTTTTCAGATTTCACAGAAATGTAAATATTTATTGTTAACATAAAAAGTGAAGCTAATCAATGCGGTTGCCTGGTTTTTCAGGACGGTGCCGTGTTTACGTTCGGCTCCGGCCGATACGGACAGCTTGGACACAACTCATTCCGAAATGAGCTTCGTCCTCGGCTTGTTGCAGAGCTCTGGGGGGCAAAGGTCACCAAAACTGCATGTGGGAGGTACTTTAACATACTTTTATAAGCTTATTATGACCTCATGTGCACAGTGAGATATTTTCTGACTCTTCTACCTTATAGTGACAGGACTTAAAGCGAGACTTATACTACAAAAAACCTTTGTTAGTTTTAATTTGGAAATTGTTCCTTCATTACTCCATCCTCTTTCTGTCATATTGTGTCCATAGCAGTGGCAGTGAAACAGGCCATCTGCATAATGCTTCATACAGTCTAAAGGCCTTACCTTAATCCTCCCAAAACATTTTTCTTGTCACCATGGCCAAACCCCTCTAACCTTGCCTCATCATTACCATTAATTGTTTTTCTAGATGGCATTTGGTTTTCCATGTTGGACATCACACTCAGTCCTTGGTGACATTGAGGCTCCAGCATCTTCCAGTTCATCATCAGTTCCAACCTTGATTGTTCCTGAACATCCAAAGTATTCTCTGTTTTATTAGGGTGGACAGTTTATGGACAAATGGTTGAAACTTTGACAGAATTGTGAAAGCTATCCCAGACAGATCAAAACTGGACTTGTATTGAAAAAGCCAATCAACATTAAGCTTCTGGAATGATCTCCTCATATCCCTGACCTAAACTGAGTTGAAAATATGCCTAAAAGCCAGATTTGTACCAGGAAACCAAGCAGTTTAAATGTATTCCACTAATTTTGCCCCCCAAAAAAAGAGCAATAAAACAAATGCAGTCAGAATTGTATCAGGATGAAAAGTCAATAATCTTTGACTTTTTGTGCTGGATCAGCCTGCATTTGAAACAAAGGCACATAGAGTGTGCATTGAAATGACATCCATGGCCTTGCAAACTTCTGACTGATACTGTAGGTTTGTAATTATTAAGCAAGCTGCTTTTACTCTTCCAGATATCACACATTAGTGCTGACAGACCGTATGAAGGTGTATTCCTTTGGTTGCAACGACCATCAGCAGCTGGGACGTGACGAGGAGAGCCTGTCTGTGCCACTACCTGTACAAATACCTCTCTGTAAGTCCTGTCAGTTTACACTAAGGTAAAGGTAGAGGTAAAAATTAATTATTGAAGAAACTTTCATTTATTTAAACTACATTTACAGTGGTGGCAGTAATAAATCTCACTCTATGAACTAAAACCTTTTTTTAAAAGAAAGCTGCTTTACCGGTCATAAAGTAAGAATGACTACATTTTGCACTTCCACTGAAAAAAAGAGTATGTTGTAAATTTGTAAACCCAAAAGTCTTTACATTTTTTTTTAACCTTTACAAATTTTTACAAATAATAAAAACCCATTGAGATTAAAAAACTCTTTTTCAAGGGAGTACAAGACAAGAAGCAGCAATAAATGCAACACAAAAAAATAGTTTAACTCTGAGATAAGGAAACTTTATTGATGATCCATGAACAATGTTACCAACGAAATAGCCACTTCATGTCAAACTTAAGCCTTCATTGCATGTAGATAAGGAAGATTACTTCTGCAATCTTTTAAATATTACTCTCTTAATAACTGAGGACAGTAATATCCCATATTTAAATAGCATTTGTTATTCCTCTGTAGGTCCCACAAACGGTCACCGGATTGATAATATCTTTGCTGGAGCAGATTGTTCGTTTGCAACCTGGAGACCTAAAGAGGTAACTCCACAAATTCTTCAAGGCTCAGCAATATCTTCATCCTTTTATGTCAACACATAATCTTTTTCCCCACTTTGAGGAATATTTTTTTACCTTATTTTGTTTCAAGGACGGATTGAACTCAAAGATCAACATAACGCAACAGCCTATTGAAAACCTGGTGGATCAGTGGACCTCTGAATGTGATGCAAGGTTGGGACAAGTGACAAAACAGTAAGAATAATAAAGTTTTATGTCAACACTAGGTGTTTACTTGTCAAGTATGTTATTATGATTGAGAAATCTTTATTTTTTTTATATTATGTAATTTGGCAAATGACCTCCTAACATCTTTACAGGGAAATTCGTAGAACATTTTCCTCTGCTTCAATTGTGAACCGAAGTTTCCTTGACCAAAGGTATGCATAGACTTTAAAGATTTAATCTGAATTTCTTGGTATCTGCTCCTATTTCAAATTAGATGTTTTTTTAATCATTTTAGGAAAGATAAGCATTTCCAGACCTCAACAAACTACCCTGGTTTTGATTTATTGTTGGCCAAAAGTGTGTTTGAAAAGCTGCTAACTGAGGATGTTCTTCAAACTGAGGTGTGACTATAAAATAAAATCCTGCACATTGATTAGTAATGGAAGATGACGTTTAAAACCCAGGTTCTTGTTTTGTTCCAACAGGTGGAAAAGGCTGTCCTGCTGTTGCTTCCTCGTCTTGATAACAAACCGGTGGGACTGGAGGGTTTGAGGGTCTTCCTGGTTCTGACTGAACTTCTTCATGTGACTCAGAAACATTGTCAGCCACAGATCTCGTCAACAAGCCTGAAGCTGGTTGAAGAAATTATTGCTGCCTTCCAAAGACTTTCTCCCGAAAGCCTCCGGATTATAGGTACAATGAAACGTGCCTCTAATAAAAGTTAAATCATGAAATGGTACATGAATAAAGACTTCAGTACTAGACCGTCTTTAGATAAGCTCTCTCTCATCAATCCTGTCCTCCTCAGGAGACTGGTGGCATTCACTGTTACCCTCTACAATGGTCAGACATGTAAACGTATGGAAGACGGCCCTTTCATGGCCATTTTCTCACAACTCATTCAACAGTATCCTGCTGATCCTCCAGAATCTGTTTGAAGTTTGTATCAATTCCACATCACATTTAATCTCATTTTCATTTTCAACAAGAAAGTACATAGTTCTCTACATTTGCCTACTCTTTTTGACATTGCACATGTCTGTCTAATTTAAAGGCCAACAGGAAGAAAATCCCTGAAAATAAATTTTGTGTGGAGTTTGACCGAACATTTCTTGAAGTTGAGCTGCAGCGCTGGCGTGGAATGTCACTAAACAGGGTAAATAATTAAAGCTTAACTTCTAAATTTATTTTTATGTACTCAACAAAATTATCAATTTTAGTAAAAAGATATGCATGTTATTAGGGTATTTGTGTTAATAATCTGATTAAAATGTGTTTTTTCTTATAGTCATTATTTCCTCAGATGGTGGATGATCAACCCCTCTTACTCTGTGATTTTCCATTTGTCATGGATCTGAAATCAAAGAAAATGGTTTTTGACACCAGTGCTGCTTGGACTCAGGTGAATAAACATTGGCATCAAACATTAGCAATAATAACAAATATATAGTTTTACTTTTCATCAAAAAGTGAGTGTTGGTACAAGATTAACAGTGTGAAGTAGTCGCAAAATGAAGCTGTACGTTTGAAAACAAATGTCTTTCAAAGTTATTCATTTTGTGTTTCTTTGGAATTCAAAATTGTTCCTTAGGAAGATCATCAGAGGGTTTTTGTTCC